ATAGAATGCAAAGTTTCGATTGCAACGCAAGCGACCGTCATCGGGTAGGAATGAATTCAAAAACCAAACATAGTAAACTTAGAAATTCAATGCAATACAACACAGAGAGTCGGCTAACACAACAGTCAACATCCCCACCTGGTTGATTACGTTCTTCCAAAGATTGCTCAATTTGAGAGAGAGAGACAAAACACAGACCCGGAGACACACAGACAGACACAATCATGCAGAGAGAGACACACAGAGACACACAGAGATACAGAGAGAGACACACAGAGACACAGAGAGAGAGACATACAGAGACACAGAGAGAGACACACAGAGACACAGAGAGAGAGAGAGAGACACAGAGACACACAGAGAGACACACAGAGACACACAGAGAGAGACACACAGATACACACAGAGACACGCAGAGAGAGACACACAAAGACACAGAGAGACACACAGAGACACAGAGAGAGAGACACACAGAGAGAGACACAGAGAGAGAGAGACACACAGAGACACACAGAGAGAGACACACCAAGACAAAAACATTTATTTTCTACTTGACTTTACCGAAAGAACCAAGGAGTAATTCCTGCAGTCACGAAAGCTTCGAATTTAGTCTTGAAGCGATCCGTTGCGCAATCAACGAAAGCCATTTGCCAGCAAACCGTATCCGGACGTCAACTTGTGAGTTGGCTGTGTTCATGCAGCCGTACACAAGAGTCGCCTTGTGACTGAATCACTCCGAGGTTCCGTGTGCTGATGCCCACCCACGGTGTGAACGATTGAGCGCCGCGGTGGCTATGAGATGTTAACTCCCTCGCCTGGTATACAGGAGGTCGTGGGTTCGATCCCGACCGTCACGTCTGTTGTATATTTGGAGTTTGCATGTCTCTCTCTCTGTCTCTCGCCGTGGTCACGTGGATTTTTATCCGTGTCCTCCGGTTGTTCCCTCCACATTTAGAATCAAGGGGCCGTCCATAAATGACGTCACGCGATTTTGGACAATTTTTTTACCCCCCCCCCTCGTCACGCGGCGTCACAAAAAGTCAGACCCCCCCTCAAATATGACGTCACAAAGCTCTGCCTCCCCCCCCCACCAAAAAATAAAACATGCTTCAAATCGCTTTAAACTATTGTCATTGTAGTGCATATTTAATGTGCTACTGCACTGTGATGTTGTAGGAGAAAACATTTATTTAAAAAGTCTATTTAGTTAAGTAAAACGTGTTGTCTATATTTATTTAAAGTTGCACATTTTGATGTGACGTCAGATTTCTCAACCCCCCCCCCCTCGTCACACATCGTCACAAATGTTTGACCCCCCCCCCCGCCCAGGTGCATGACGTCATTTATGGACGCCCCCCCAACGTGCTTTTAGAGTATGTGGCCGCTATACATTTCCACATGATAAACCATTTTGTTGACCTATCATTTGGAGCCAAGTGGCTTTTGAAAGAGGGCTTTTTTCGCTCAGTGAGCCTTACCTGGTAAACTAATAGTTAATCGTTTCAAAAAGAGTTCAATACTTTTATATAATCTTTCGATGACGGATTGCAGAGGCCCCTGGTGTCGCGGTGCAGTGCTGGCTGCCGTCAGTGAGTGGCACACAACGCCCCGCACGCGTCTGTAGCTCGTGCAGGTCGTGGTAAGGCACGGGGGCGATGTGCCTTCACGATCGGACGGCTCTTGCGCGTGTGGGATGTTTGAATCGGGCCCTGCATGTGGGGGTGGTGGCGGCACATGTGGCGCGTGTTCACGGGCTTCCTGCTTTGGAAGGCTGTACTTCACTTGCATGTATGTGCGCATGCTGAGCTTTTTTCGCACCGTACGTAGCCAGCCGTGCTAATCGGAGGCGCGGGGGCAAGGAGCAACAAACTGATCACAAAAAAAGCAGTTCCAAAGAGATTGGCTTTGCGATCTGGATGATTTGAGAGTGCATAGCTCCAGTGGCTTCCGAATAAGGTACCGGAAGGAGGAGCGTTCCAGACGGCCGCAGAAGCGCATCTGAAAAGCGCGCGATGCGGTGACCACCGTCTTTGTTCGATGGCCAGCCAGAAGCGGCTTGCGAAGATGACCGCGGTTCGAGCGGTGGTTGATGTTCCTTGACGAGATCGGCAAGGTGTTGCGGTTGATCTCTTAGACCAGGGGTGGGGAACGTCCGGCCCGTGGGCTTTACAAGGACCGCAAAATCATTTGGTCTCTGGCCCTGCCGAGGCAACCGCAGGCGGGACACGAAATTCAATAAATCTAGGTAGCAAACCTGGAAAAGTAGTTGCGAGTAGCAACATCGTCAATACCGGCTAACATCATCACACGCCTCGCCAAAGAGAAGCAGTTCCAGCCATCGCATTAGGGGTGAGTTAATTAAATGTTTGACCAAATATTACGGGCTAATTTTTAAGTTGATAATTTTGTATGGCCCGCGAATGATGTTACAAATATCCAAATGGCCCTTGGCAGAAAAGAGGTTCCCCACCCCTATCTTAGACGGTCGCCAAGCGCCACGACGTTTCGTTTGGCAGTGAAATACACAAGGATGTCCTCGTGCAATTCTGTACAATTCCCTTTCCCCTTTGAGGTTTCTTGCATCATAAACGGAACATTACGCGGCGAGCAAAGGGCGACTGTATCTGCAGCGTTCTCTGTGTGCGTGTCTGCAGCACAGTTAAAACATTTCGTCTTTACCCCAAGGATCCACTCAGCGGGGCGAAGTCTGCAAGCTCCAACTCTACGAATCCCGGGCTCAAACGCACGCGCATATTTATAACAGTACACCACAGCCCGTATTTAATCCTTATTATGTGCATAAAGGGATGCAAAAGAGTTGCCCTCTGTAGCTGTTCTATTCTAAGGCAGCATTCATGATGGATGTGGTTGACTCTTTCGACTTGTGCTTGTGCACAACTGGCCATGGGGCCCACGTGGTTTCTTTCGTGCGCCGCGGTGGCAAGATGTTAACTACATCGCCTGCTATGCAGGAGGTCGTGGGTTTGATCCCGACCCTTGACGCCTGCTGTACATTTGGAGTATGCGTGCCTCTCTCCCCATGGTCACGTGGATTTTTCTCCGGGTCCCCCTCCACATTTAGAAACTCGCCTTTAGATTGTTTGGCTGCTATAAATGTCCACGTGATGATAAGTAACTTGGTTGATATTCTTTGGGGCTTTCGGTAAAGTCACAGGCCTGGTGATGACCGCTTGTGTTGCAATTGAAACGTCGTAGTTTTTTGTTAATTTTATCTTTTTATTAATTTGAACCTATCGACGTGACTTTACCGAAAGACCCAAATAATATGAATTCCTGCAGTCACGAAAGCATTAAATTGAGCCAGGTCGCTTTTGAAATAAATAAAAAGGGATCCATATTCTTGGTTCTTTCGGTAAAGTCACGTAGAAGGGAAACAATAAAATAATAATAAAATATTATAATAAAAATGTATTGTTTCACTTCTACGTGACTTTACCGAAAGAACCGAGAATATGAATCCCTGCAGTCACGAAAGCTTTAAATCAAAATTTAAAAAGGGATCGTTTTTAGTTTTTTTTGTTCTGCGTAGAAGTGGGCTCCCTCTAGTGGCAGTTTAACCTCCTGCACGGCTTAGAAACGCGATCCTGTCGCATGCTTTGTGTGCTTTGTGCGTGCGCCGGTCCGTGGTGATAAAGTCAAGCCTCCGCTATTTGAGCCTCCCCTTGTAAAGTGGATGTCTAGACCAGTGTTTTAATGTTATGTTTAAGATGTACACGTTCAAAGTAAAATCACGGCGTCATATGCGAGATAAGTAAAGTTTAGTTTTATCCCGCCAACGCAAACTAAAACAAGAAAGGTCACGCCCAAGAATGTGCGCAAAAAAAATGACGAAAAGTGACCGACCGGCTGACGTATTTCATTGCTGAAACCATACGCCACCGCGCTGGTCTGGTGCGGGTTTCTCTTGCAGCGGGGTTCCTCGGACCGTTTCTGATATCGCTCGCCAAATGATGTCAACCGTGCTCCTGGTTCTCTTCGGTAAAGTCACGTAGGTAAAAAATAAAACAACAAAAATCACGACGTTTCGGCCACAACACAAGTGGCCTTCATCAGGTGAAGGGACCACGCTGTCACGAAGACAGCGTTGGAATCAAGAAAGTCAAGCCAGGTCGCGTCCTTTAAGCTGTGTGGGAGGAAACCAAACGCTTTGACAAAGTAATTAGCATAAAGTGCTGATCGAACACTTAAAGTGCTGATCAGCACATTTATGCTAATTCCTTTGTCAAAGCGTTTGGTTTCCTCCCACACAGCTTAAAGGACGCGACCTGGCTTGACTTTCTTGATTCCAACGCTGTCTTTGTGACAGCGTGGTCCCTTCACCTGATGAAGGCCACTTGTGTTGTGGCCGAAACGTCGTGATTTTTGTTGTTTTATTTTTTACCTACGTGACTTTACCGAATAGAACCAAAGAGTATGGATCCTTGCAGTTACGAAAGCTTCAAATCTAGAATAGATGTCAACCGTGGCCTGGAAATCAAATTGGTGCCACCGGGTTGCCGGTGGAGCGCCGCCGCCCTGCCACGTAGGCATGCCGGCTGCGGTTATTGGCCTTGGTGGTCGGACGGTGTTAAACCGTACCGGTCGGTGCGCTCGGCGGGGCAGGCTGTAACTGTTATGATGTAACTGCAGTTGAATGGAGCGTCAGTGGCTGCGGGGCTTTCGGTCCTTTTGTGCCAGTAAATCGAGCGTAATTTACGGAGCAGCACCCGTACCTTTGTGGTGTGTCGCCACGTACACAAACAGCAACGGTCACGTCCCGTGATTTACTGCGGCGCGTAACGTGCGCGAGTGACTCCGCGCAGACCATTCACACCGGGTCAAACGTGGTCACTTTTGTCAACGGAGAGAAGCCCCCCCCCCTCCCCCGACAGCCCCCCCCCCCCACCTCACCTCCCCCCCCTCCCGACCTGTCCGGCCACCGTGAGCAGGAAAACTGGCCATGGCCCTTCACGATGTTAATGCCCTTCACTTGTGTCGACTTTCTTTTCCTGTTTGACTTGGGTGCGTGCCAGTGACACACGCCATAAATCTCTTCTAAGAAACCCGCTTCCTTCCACCGCCGCCGGGGTCCCAGGACTCGGAGGCGGAGTGCAGCGAGCGCCGCCTTCGCTGCCGCTCAGAGCCGCGCGGCCAGGAGGCTCCGCTCCAGGCCGTCTGGATTTGCCGAAAGCTTTCGCGAAGCCGGGGAGTAATGCCGGCCTGAAGGTTTCACTCGACGGATCGTCATTAAGGCGATCGCTCCCCCAGTCCTCGCCCCCCCCCCCGTCCCGCCTACGGTCACGCCAGCTCGACAACACAAACATGCGGTGCTTAAAGGAGAAGTTTATTTTTTCTTGTTAAATTCATGCAGCCTCTCACGGGGCCATCGTGGCACAGGCAGATGGCGTCCCGCGCCGTCGTGCTCAAACCCCGACGCAGGACCCGTCCAGGTAACGAGTAGGGCTAGCGTTCGCGCGCCTCTTGTCGAAATGCGTTTGCCGGTTCGGCGTGTCCCCCCCTTTTTTTTTTTTTCACTGATGCGTAGCGTGCGTGCGTGCGCGCCGGCGAGGCTGTGCCACGCGGGGCCGTTCGCGCTCGCTGTGGATTCACGCGTCCGCGCGCGCGTGTGTTTGCGTCGGTGACAGCACAATGGTAGGAAGCGGTGTCTGTGCGCGCGATTCGGCACGGGGGGCCCCTCGGCTCCGCTGCGCGCGCCGACGCTCCGCACGAACCAACGGCGGCTCGACCTGCGACGAGCGGAGCTGCCGCTGCCACGCTGGTGCCCCCTGGTGCCGTTTGCGTTCGCGTGGAGCTGGGCCGCGCTTGCCCACGCTCTCTGTTTGCATTTTAGTTGGCGGGGCGGACGGTTGTTTTGCGCGTAGCTGCAATGCCGTTGTGGCCGGTTGTCTTAGTTCATAGCGCTACGAACGAAATTCATGCGCTGACGCACAGTTCCCTTTCGTCTGATTGCCGGTGGAAAGTGCGCCGATATCTCTGCCGGCAGTAACGTGGCAAAGTGCTCAGAGGCGGTGATGTGTTTCGGCCGTTTCGTCAAAGTGTTGTTTAATATGTTTTGTGTTTATTGTACGTTGTGACTGTTCCACCTCAACGTGTGCTTTGCTCTTTGAGTGCCTCGGCCGCTCGACCCCGCGAGTCCACATTGTGTCTGCAGGTAGCGTGCAGCGTATTGTGCAACGGTGAACTTTTAGCCCCCTGCTCAACGCTATGAATAACCAGCGCTCTCCCCACCTTTGTCTTTCGCAGAGGGCGAGGACTACCAGCCGCCCATATGGAAATCCTACCGTGAGTATCTTCACGTTGTCCTCTCTGCCACGATCTCATCGCTCGCGCCCGTCCACCTTCATTGCCCTGATTTCATGAGCTTTAATTCCGCACGGCAAACAACAACAATAACAACATCGCTGTCCTTTTTTTCCTTCTGCACATAAACCCGAGCGTGTTTTTCCTGCCAGGAATTCACTATATATATAAAAAAAAATACGTTCCCACCCACTGTGGTGGGGCTTCAAGCTCCGTTCCTGAGGCCAGGATCACTCATCCTGGACCGGTCTCTGTAGAACGGTCTCTGTGTAGACCGGGCATCTCTGGGCGCTGCGGTCGGAGGCGCAGGCTGGGTTACAGATGGTGTAACTTCGCATGGCAATGATGCATCTGGCGCTGCCAAGGCTCGTGTAAGCGTGAGGCCTCCCTGCTCTGTCGATCGTCCTGCCATAGAGTGGCAATTAAAATATCATATTACCGTTCCATCCTAAACCACCGGCAGCACTCTAGAGTGTCTGTGTGTGTGTGTGATGGATGGTTTTGTCTGAAGCCTTGAATGATTCATAGCTGTTGTAATCAAATAGCCGGTGCCTGGGCGGGCACGTGGTGAGGCAATGCGTCTAGGTTAGCGCTGTAGCCTAGGGCAGCTGTCTGGGCACAGGCGAGTATTCAGCTGGTCCAGCTGGGGCTGCTGGTGACGTGCACCGCAAGTGAAAATGGCGACCGAGGGGCACCACCACGGGGCACCACTCTGGTTGCCACGCTCGAATTTCCTAGCGATTGAAACGTACGGCAGTGATGAATGGGCAACGGGACGGATTCATCGATGAGAATCGATTTGTGCGCACACGATATGTGAATTGAATGGATTGTTTACAGCTTGACACACATTATACGCGATTGTAACTTTAGCCTAAGTAGTACACGAATTAAACGGGACATTGAGGCACATATAACTATTCACCTATTTTTTTATTTTAACACTGAGGTTTCTAGCTATTTTTAGAAGCGACCTGGCCACATATAATAGCTCAACGATGTGGTTTATCACGTGGAAATGTATAGCAGTCAAATACCCTAAATGCATGTTTATAAATGTGGAGAGAAAAAGCGGAGGACCCGGAGAAAAATCCACGCCACCACGGGCAGAGAGAGAGAGAGAGAACATGCAAACTCCAAATACAGGCGTCCGGGTCGGGATCGAACCCACACCCTCCTGTATACCAGGCGAGGTAGCGAACATCTTGCCGTATAGCACAGGCAAGACCGAAACTAATTTAATCGTGACCCGTGAATGGTTACCTTTCAGTGAATTTATGGGGGAATGTATCACGTGAGCTACCTGACAATGAGCCCATTACTCACCCGTCCACTCTTTGTAGATGAATGTCAATGTTTGGTACCAGCAAGCACACTTTTTATTTTAAAATCATTTACTGAGCCAGGAGTTTCCCCTCCTTGACTCACCAGGGACTGTGAACAAATCTATCCTCTATGCAAATCCTCACAACTGTGGTGTCAAGGTACTTAGCGTGGCAGCTCTTTATTAGTCCAATCCCAGATGAAAGTATAATAATTGTATGAACGTTGAACTCTTTTGCACCGTACGTAGCCAACCGTGCTAGTCATAGGTGCGGGGGGGGGAAGGACAACAAACTAAACACAACAAGCACCCACGTGGTGTTGGTCATGAGAGTTGCCTCATCGCACTTCACCAGTCGGGATTTGTGAAGGGAGGGCCCAGATCTGGTTCGGCTCTCACTCTCACCGGGAATTGAACTCAAGTGGCCGTGTTCATAGTGTGGTGCACTAGTAATACATGTGATAATAACAAGTCAGATTTGTTTGTCAGCACCGTCGTTTAGAGCATTGTCAGCCAGAGCAGAAATGACCCGGACATAGAGGACCCAGCTACGTTGGCAGGTGACCCCCCCCCCGCCCCCGCAACTCCGATTAGCACGGTTGGCTACGTACGTTGCGAAAGAAATTCAACATACAGTGCATTCGTACTAAAGTTTGGTTAAACTAACTATGAACCACCGCGCCATCACTCCCCGCCAAGGCGTTTAACATGGAACCCAGTGGACCCTGTTGCACTTTACACACATTTACGATAGCTATCTTGTGACTAATAGAATGCTTATCGATTTATACCACTCGGACCTACGATTACATGCCTAAGCGAGGTGGGGTGCCATTGTACAACACACGATCATTTGCATTCCTACAACGATCAAGAGCAATGGAGAGAATGGTCGCAACAGAATGGCTTATTCTCTACAATGCACCCATTAGAAATGGGGATTTTTTTTTGGCAATGATTTAATGTCATCTGTTGTGTGGAAAAGGACATGGCAGACGACGATTCCATTCCATACAGCGCACACGATCACTGCTGCCCTGCACCATTCCACACCACAGAATCGCAACTCCCCCCCCCACCGGTTGTGCACCACCGAGTCAACTCTGCCACAACGCCCAGCGTGCAACGGCTGCTCCCTGTGGATAATTCGCAGGCCCCCGTGGCCTCGTCCCACACGAAGTTCAGTGGCGTGCGCGAGCCGGCAGAGGGCCGAGGAGGACCGCGCTGCACGGAGGAGAGGCGCCCGGGCGGAATGATCGCAATCCAAAAACCCCCGGGGGTCTGCCTGCTACTGCCGCCGCTGCTGCAGCTGCTGCAGCTGTAGCAGGCGTCCACTTGGGGCGGTGTGGTTCCCCCCCCCCCCCCCCCTCTTCAAAATAATTATATGCTGGTTGATAGCCTTAGCCCAGTGTCACCAATGACTACAGCAACATCGCCACCCCCCCCCCCCCGCCGCACAGTTTTCCGCCGTCATACGAAATTGTTTTTTTAAACTGCCAAATTCTGGATCTGAGAATGAACAGTATCCATAATAGAGGTTTTTGGGTTAGATCGCGTAAATATATAAATGTGTCGCTAAAACCCGCCACCACCCGACACAGCCAACTAGTAGGGGTTGTCACGTAAACAGAACATGCCAATTCGTCAAATTTGTAAATGTTATGGTTTTGCTTTCCAACACATCGGTTTGCTGTACTAGTGACGAATTGGCATGTTCTGTTTACGTGACAACCCTTACTGGTTGGGTGTGTCGGATGGTGGCGGGTTTAACGACAAATTTTTATATTTACGTGATCTAACCCAAAACCCTATATTATGGATGATATTGGTCGCGAAAGCCTACGTGTTAAAATTAACAGTATCGCTTCAACCAACTGTTGTGTGCCAAGCATCGCACTGTGGCAGGCTGGGTTGGAAAGTGCTGCCTGCTAGCGTGGATAAGGGGCCACTTGAACAAGACTTCAGAAGTAGCTCTATGATATCAGCGTCTGTGGGCCTCGCACTGCTTTGCGAGATTTGAATGGCTTCTTTATCTCATGCCACGGCACCGATATCAGGGTTGTGATAAAGTGTGTGTGTGTGGAGCGGTGGGGGGGATATTATTTATGAAAGTTCAAGCAGTACGTGAAGCAGCGCAAATTGCGTGTTTATAATGAGCATTGGAAGTCAAGAGGGGTAACAGGCTATAGCAGAGGAACGCGGTAAAAAAAGAACATGAGCAGGAAATTGGAAACGTCACTCGCAGCAAGGGCTGTGTGCAATACTGTTAAGACTGGCGGGGTCCTGCCATAGCGATGTGGAATTCCCATGTTTGGCCGAACAGTGCTACGATACATGGCCTATGCCCCAGATTTGGCGGAGCAGTGAGAGACTCGCTCATTTTGATGTCTACCATCTGCACAGCACTTCGTTTCCCTCATTGGTTTTTGCAATGCGAGTTCATTTAAATATTTTCCAGGGCAACATTTCCTGATGCATTTGATGTGGTAAGCCTTTTATGTGATTAAACAAAAAAATCTTCTCATCGGTGTATGAAACAAAATTAGACCATTACGAGAGCCTTGATGAAAAGCGCTAGCTAAATTTAATTATTATATTATAAACGTGTTCAATAATACAATAACTTTTTGTTTGTTTTGTTACAATGTTAACAGCTTGCACGTACGCTAACGCTAGGCGTACATGTAGGCTTTGCGGGGGGGGGGAAACGTTTTCGTGAAATGCACTGCAGGGCGCGGGCACGGGCACACGCAGTCTCGCAGATGCCGTCCTTTATTTAGCATTGCGTCCTGCCCCAGCTGAGCTCCCGATGGAGTTCGCGGGGAAGCGGGAGGCTCCTGGCCCTAACGAGCTGACACGTGAGCTGCCGGGGGGGGGGGGGGGTGGTGAGTTTCGTGCGCAGAGAACATAAAAAAACACAAAGCGTCAGACATTGTCATCAAAGAAACAAACTGTTGGGTCCTGTTGTTAAAGTGCGGACGGCAGGGTTGTCGACGTTGATACTCGGCGTCAGCAGGCAGCGAATGACATCGACTGTGCCCTTACAAATGCCAGACCGCACAGCTACTCAAGACGATACCAACAACAACCGCCGCCATTCGCCACTCAGTGGCGATGACGTCGCCACGGCGCTTGTGCCAGGCTATGTGCATTTTGAGGCCACGTGAAGTGTCGAACGCTCGCTGGCAGGAGGTCATGGGACAGACCCAGGTGCCATGGGTTGGCGGACTGAGATGGCTGGCAGATGCACCACCTGTGCCCCTTACTGTGCCAACTTGCTGTGTTTTAGCCGCCCGTCGCCTCTGCACGTTGTTGTGAGCATTGCTCACTGCCCGCTGACACCGAGTATCAACACACATCCGCTGAACACAACAACCAGATCTCACAACCAATGAAGCAGCGATGACGTTCCACAATTATTGGGTACGATGAATGATGAAGATGATAATAATAATAACGCCGAATCATAACGCGCACAACTCTGAGTGGATTAAAGTTTGAGCGCGACTCGGGGGTGCGGAAATGATCGTGCACGTGGAATTCCGCGTGACCCAAACACAAATTCCCCATGGGGGTATTGTTTCATAGTTAATCTTTGCAAACATTGCAAGACAATGTTTCGCACGCTTACAGGGAAAGTTCGTAGCACGTCCGCATGGGCTCGCTTTGTAGTGCGATTGTTTGTTCGTTTTTATGGTCGACTTTCGTAAATTTCCCTGGGCCTCTGAGCGGCTAATTAAAATCCTTAGTAATTCTCCGTGATTTAATATCCCTCGGTGTGCGTGAGTTGTGTAAGGGCACCGGCATCACGTTTCAATTAATGGAACGCAGTTTTCAAAATCTAAGAGCAGCGTGGCCAGAGAGTGCAAATCATAAATACGACAACAAAATAGAAAGACAAAGCTGAATTTACGTTCCAAAAAGAGTTAAGATTGTCACTGGAACACTAAACATATCGATTCTACAGGGCATCATTACAAAAATTATCGCGTTACATGAATTCATTTATCGGCGGAACAGCATAAACTGTAATTCTTCAGTTTTATGTCTGTCTGGAGTGGAATGCTCACATGCACATGGGGCTTTATAAAAGGGGCAATAAAATTTTACTCTCCTTTAACTTTCACGCCACAGATGCATTTTGCCAATTATGCCCGCGTGTTTTAATCACTTCCACTCTCCCGCTGTTACGGTGCCGTGGTGCATGCCGTATTGTGTGGCGTGACGCGTGGTTGTGTCGCACGCACGTTGAACTTCTTTTGCACCGTACGTAGCCAACCGTGCCAATTGGAGGCCGTTTGTGCTGTATCGTGTGGTGTGATGCGCGGTGCCATGGTGCGTTGTGTCGTGTCGTGTGTGCAGTGTACCAGTTGCAGCAAGAGGCTCCTCACCCCAAAAGGATCACGTGCACACAGGAGGTGAGATTACTTTGGCGTGTGTTCTGCCCGTACATTCCTTATAATTTATTACGAGCATCATCATCAACAGTCATCGTCTATCCACTGCTCTATGGAGGCTCGACCGCACCATCCGTCATGGTCACGTGATGCCATAATCTACGTCGCTCCTGAGCGTGAAGTTATCTCCTGGCTCCATCTCCATGGTAGACATACAATCTATGCCGAATGAATAAATGATAACGTCGCACTCATTACACACAAAGTACTTGCCACAAATTAACCGTGTTACCTTGCTTATCCCGTCAAGGGGCATAAACCATTACACAAACTCCGGTAATCCTCGCAGTGGCTTTTTGGCTAGCCATCGAATAAAGACGGTTGCAGTCGCAGTATCGCGGGCTTACAGATGTGCTTCTGCGGCCGTCTGGAATGCTCTTCTCGCGGATATAAGTAAGCCACTGGCGCTATGCACTACTTTGAAAACTAATTTCTTTAGAACTGCTTTTTGTGTTTAGTTTGTCGTCCCCCCCCCCCGCCCGCACCACCGACTACCACAGTTGGCTACGTATGGTGCGAAAGAAGTTCAACGTACATGCATACATTGGGCATGTTCTCGCCTTTGGCTGGCATTCCGTCACAGTCCTTGTCCTTTAGCCATCTCACCATGTGACCTGCCCAAAGCCGCTTACTCGTCTGAACAGTCGATACATTGCATGTGTGTGCGTCTTCCGATGCAAATCGGATCTGAGTGAAGATGTGGCACTTCATCATGTTGATGGAGGTCGGAACGCGTGACCGTGAACATGGGACAGTCTGCTGTGATATGGCGAATCTGTCCGATCAAACCCTGGGCACGAATGAACCTGCTTCTTATCAGTCAGACGTTTATTTAAAATCAGTTGATAGCCCTGCGAGACCTAAGAAGTCTCTCGTTAATGGTGACCCGGTTCACAATAGTCGCAACGTACATATGAAGGACGGGTCGGAAAACGAAGCAAAAATTAACGAAGGTATGGAAGTTAAGCCAATTGTTCGATGCAATAAGAAAGAGATCAAACTCAAAAAAGCACTCCATTGATGTTGCTCAAGTCGTGAATCCGGTTTTCTATTAAAAACACAATTGGGGAGAAGCGCTTTACAAGTGCAAAGCAGAGAAATATTAGTTCTGTGTATGTGGTGGGCAGGGTGGAGGGGGTAAGCATTACGGATGAAGGGAAATTAGTGTCCCTAGCAAGGTTGGCTGGGTGAGCGGTCAGCTGATTGTCACTGGAACCGGATTCCGCGTGGAGCGTCTCGCTCGTGTGCCCTCCGTTTGGCGTGCGCACCCCGCACGAGGCAATCCACCGGTCTCCCGACGCGGTCCTCTGCATACCGACCGCTGGGGCAGCGAGAGCCGTGAGTTTGAGGGCCTCGCGCTGCCTCATGCCGGCTGCTTCGCTGTAATAGCCGCTTGCTGCTCTTTGGAAGTTGTGGCACGAGGATGTTGAACTTATTTCGCACCTTCTCGGTTCTTTCGGTAAAGTCACGTAGAATGGAAATAAAATAAAAAATAATAATTACATAACAGAACTGTTATGTTCCTTCACCTGAAGAAGGCTTCTTGTGTTGTGGCCGAAACGTCGTGAGAATTTTATTTGATTATGTTTTATTTTTATTCTTTTATTTCCATTCTACGTGACTTTACCGAAAGAACCAGAAGATGAATCCTTGCAGTCACGAAAGCTTTAAATCGAAATTTATTTCGCACCGTTCCACACGTAGACTTTCGCAACCAATGTTTTTCACAATAGAGGTGTTTTGGGGTTAGATCGCGTGAATATAAATGTGTCGTTAAACACGCCACCACGTGACACAGCCAGTTTGTAAGGTTTGTCACGTAAACAAAAACATGCCAATCTGTTGGTAGTTCAGCACACCGGTGTGTTGGAGAGTAAACCCACATACTCTGGCTGTCCGCCTGATGTTGCTGGTTGTAATTACTGGTGAAACGTCGTACTCGAATTGTAAATGTTTTGGGTTTACTCTCCAACACACCGGTGTTGCTGTACCAGTAACAAATTGGCATGTTCCGTTTTACATGAGAAAACTTACTAGTTGGCTGTGGTCGGGTGTTGGCGGGTTTAACTTATATACCTTCGCGATCTCACCCAAAATTCTCTTGTGGACTATTTCGCACCGTATGTAGCCAGCCGCACTAATCGGAGGTGCGGGGGGATGAAATCCTCGCGGCTAGGAGGGTGAGCTGGAGCTGTGTGCCGGGTGCGAGGCCGTCGCCAGCGTAGTGCCCGATGAGTTTCCCCGAACGCGCTGCCTCGATGCCCTCCCCCCGCCCCCCACCCCCCCAAGGGGGCTTCCATCGCACAGCCCAGAAAGCAATTCAAACGTAATCGCTCTCCAACAAATTGCCGGCTCCATAATTAGACGAATTAGGTACGTCATGGTTTATAAAACCTTGAGGGCTATCCAGGGCAATGTGGCCCAAACATATCGTGCCCTAACTGTGCTCGGCTGTGATAAGAGAAAAAACAAATCGTGCAGCAACCGGTTCCTCATTCATGGGATGATCACAATAATAATTGTTTATTATTATTATGATCGCTGACTGAAGATCTTCTAAGCCAGCTGAAATTCTGGAGCTCTTTTGAGCTACTTTTAAGGCATCCTAGAGTGGCTCTGTTTCATGAATTAAAACTTGACGATTCTTGCTTTGTTTACCCCTTCCCGTGCCACATTCAGCATTGCACTTCGTTAGACGCAAAAAACAAAACTGTGTCGGCTTCCTTAGGGTCTTAACCTCGCGATTATTGTGAGTATTTCAGTATATATGATTACGCCTAATTTGCAAGACTCGTTGATGAGTTGGCCAGACATCTGAATGCAGAAGCTCTCTGCAAAACTGCAAATTAATTGGTGCCTATTGTACACTGGGTAAAATTAATTCAGCACGTATATATGTACGTACCTATGTGCGCGTTGAACTTCTCTCGCGCCGCACGTCGCCATCCGCGCTCAACGGAGGTGCGGGGACCGGCAGTATGGTCACCATGTTGCCGCGTGAGACTTCATCGGCGGCGAGCGTGGTGGCGTCGGCGGAAGCGGGGCTGCGAACGGCGATTGCCGTCGATGCGCCCGAGCGACTTCTCTCCACTTTGCCGCCTGCCATGGCCCCGGCGCGGAGCTCCGCGTGCGCTCTCAGCTGCCCTCCCCCCGGGGGTGTGATGGAAGTGGCCGTGCTCACGTCGGTTTTTATTCGATAAGCGAGCGGGAAACGAGCTGCGAGATAAGACACGGCGGCGAGATATTAACTACCTCGCCTGGTACGCGGGAGGTCGTGCGTTCGATCCCGACCCTGGCACCTGCTGTACATTTGAAGTTTGTGCCGTCTCTTTCGCCGCGGTCGCGTGGATTTTTCTCCGGGACCTCACGTTTTCCCCTCCGCATTTGGAATGGAAAAAAAAAGTATTTAGCTACTATAAATTTCCACTTCGTTGAGCTATCATTTGTGGCCAGGTCGCTTCTAAAAAAAAGAGCGAAATCGCTCAGTGGGCCTTACCTGGTCAAATATATTTTTTAATAGATTTAAAGACGTTGGCTGCTGCCGCCATCGCACGTTGCCCGGCGACACATCGTCCCTGAGAGCAGGTCCTGCCCTCCCCGTCTGTCCGTTCGCAACCGAGCTTACAATTTACCGCTGGGCACGACCCGCCGTGCAAGTTAATCGTGTACACACAAGCGAGACTCCTGGCGCATCGGAGGCAGCGATGCGTGGGTGCAAAGCAACAACAAAAAATCTAAGTAAAATCCACAAAAATCGCCCGGGTGTAATGGTGAACAGAATTCGCCTCGCTTGTCATCGTACCAGAGAAATATCGCGTGAAGCCGCCTGACAATGTCAAACTGATTCGCAACACGAAACCATAATGGATGTTTGCCCGGTTCCGGGACCGTCACAATCCCCGAGTGCATTCGGGTGTGGGGGAACAGTTCGTCCGGTCGCGTTGAGCTTTAGCGCGTGGCTGCTGCTTCCACCTGGGAACGTCGTCACTCCAGCAGCAGCCTGAAGCGAGGTGTCCCCTTTTGTCGTTGCCATGGCAACATTTTTTTGGAGGCAAGCAAAAACTCTGAATCCACTTTGATTTTCTGCAGCTCATCAGCAGAGGCAGGCCTGTTCGGCAAATGCTGCCGCGTTTTCTGACGTTATTGGCGAGATCACTCTACAAACCGCATGTTTAATATGTGCCTCCCATGCTTTAGTTTGAGACTGGTACATCTAAGAATCTGTTTTTTTTTTTCTCATAAGGTTGGAGTCGGGCTTTGGGATCCAGTGTCTCGGGGATGCTTGCTCAAATCTCTGGCACAATTATAGCATCAACCCCCTTGAGCTACCCAGACAGGCCCAGTGTAAATGTCACTGTCTTTGCATGACCTACTTTACCCACAGTGGTGCCGGCGTCGTCTTTCATCATCAGGTGCTTCCGGACGTGCGCATTTATGACCCTTTCTCGGTCCACTGCAGGATGAGGGCTTTCCTCTTCAGTGGATACTGTTTGGGTCCGTCGTACGAAAATAAGATCTACCCATCGCTTTCAGATGCGCTTCTGCGGCCATCTGGAACGTTCTTCCTTCTGATATTAGGAAGCCGCTTTTAAATATAAATCGAAAACTAATTTCGTCAGAACTGCTTTTTGTGTTTAGTGTGTTGTCCTTCCCCCCGCACCTCCGATTAGCACGGTTGACCACATACGGTGCGAAAGAAGTTCAGCGTACATACGGTGCATACATATAACCCTTCTATGCATTTATGTACGGGTTATCTGTGGACAATTATTCTTAGACGAAAAAAAATCAACGCCGCTGGAATGTATTCTGTATCGTTTACAACGTTTTCCCTTCGCGACCCACTCCCACCCCACCTCGTGTGTAGACCCGTCACGACTATCACATTGAAGGCCAATGAGGGCCACGACCTCCTTACTGCAGACTTGTTTAGTCAAATCTAGGCCGCTGTACCTTGCTCCGCTTGTTGCCACAGCTGCCGGGTCTGTACTACGCGTGAGCGCTGAACGTTCCCGTATGCAGCGAATGCAGCGTTCACAGTGTGTACAGCCTGTGCATGCAGCGAGTGCAGCGAGTGCAGCACATGCAGCGTCTGCAGTATTCGCAGTGTGCATATCATGTGTAGCGTGTGACGCGTTCACAGTGAGTATAGCGTGTGAAGCGTTCACAGTGAGTGTAGCGTGTGAAGCGTTCACAGTGAGTGTAGCGTGTGAAGCGTTCGCAGTGAGAGTAGCGTGTGAAGCGTTCACAGTGAGTGTAGGGTGTGAAGAGTTCGCAGTGAGTGTAGCGTGTGAAGCGTTCACAGTGAGTGTAGCGTGTGAAGCGTTTACAGTGAGTGTAGCGTGTGAAGCATTCACAGTGTGAGTAGCGTGTGAAGCGTTCACAGTGAGTGTAGGGTGTGAAGCGTTCGCAGTGAGTATAGCGTGTGAAGCGTTCGCAGTGAGTGTAGCGTGTGAAGCGTTTACAGTGAGTGTAGCGTGTGAAGTGTTCACAGTGAGTGTAGCGTGTGAAGCATTCACAGTGAGTGTAGCATGTGAAGCGTTCACAGTGAGTGTAGCGTGTGAAGCGTTCACAGTGAGTGTAGCGTGTGAAGCGTTCACAGTGAGTGTAGCGTGTGAAGCGTTCACAGTGAGTGTAGCATGTAAAGCGTTCGCAGTGAGTGTAGCGTGTGAAGCGTTTACAGTGTGTGTAGTGTGTGAAGCGTTCGCAGTGAGAGTAGCGTGTGAAGCATTCGCAGTGAGTGTAGCGTGTGAAGCATTCACAGTGAGTGTAGCATGTGAAGCGTTCACAGTGAGTGTAGCGTGTGAAGCGTTCACAGTGAGTGTAGCGTGTGAAGCGTTCACAGTGAGTGTAGCGTGTGAAGTGTTCACAGTGAGTAGCATGTGAAGCGTTCACAGTGAGTGTAGCGTGTGAAGTGTTCACGGTGAGTGTAGGGTGTGAAGAGTTCGCAGTGAGTGTAGCATGTGCAGGGTGTGTAGCGAGTGCAGCGTGTGAAGCGTTCGCAGTGAGTATAGCGTGTGAAGCGTTCGCAGTGAGTGTAGCGTGTGAAGCGTTTACAGTGAGTGTAGCATGTGAAGTGTTCACAGTGAGTGTAGCGTGTGAAGCATTCACAGTGAGTGTAGCGTGTGAAGCGTTCACAGTGAGTGTAGCGTGTGAAGCATTCACAGTGAGTGTAGCGTGTGAAGCGTTTACAGTGTGTGTAGCGTGTGAAGCGTTTACAGTGTGTGTAGCGTGTGAAGCGTTCGCAGTGAGTGTAGCTTGTGAAGCGTTCACAGTGAGTGTAGCGTGTGAAGCGTTCACAGTGAGTGTAGCGTGTGAAGCGTTCACAGTGAGTGTAGCTTGTGAAGCGTTTACAGTGTGTGTAGCGTGTGAAGCGTTTACAGTGTGTGTAGCGTGTGAAGCGTTCGCAGTGAGTGTAGCTTGTGAAGCGTTCACAGTGAGTGTAGCGTGTGAAGCGTTCACAGTGAGTGTAGCGTGTGAAGCGTTCACAGTGAGTGTAGCTTGTGAAGCGTTCACAGTGAGTGTAGCGTGTGAAGCGTTTACAGTGTGTGTAGCGTGTGAAGCGTTCGCAGTGAGTGTAGCGTGTGAAGCGTTTACAGTGTGTGTAGCGTGTGAAGCGTTTACAGTGTGTGTAGCGTGTGAAGCGTTCACAGTGTGTGTAGCGTGTGAAGCGTTCACAGTGTGTGTAGCATGTGAAGCGTTCACAGTTAGTGTAGCGTGTGAAGCGTTTACAGTGTGTGTAGCGTGTGAAGCGTTCACAGTGAGTGTAGCTTGTGAAGCGTTCACAGTGAGTGTAGCGTGTGAAGCGTTTACAGTGTGTGTAGCGTGTGAAGCGTTCACAGTGAGTGTAGCTTGTGAAGCGTTCACAGTGAGTGTAGCGTGTGAAGCGTTCGCAGTGAGTGTAGCATGTGAAGCGTTCACAGTGAGTGTAGCGTGTGAAGCGTTCACAGTGAGTGTAGCGTGTGAAGCATTCACAGTGAGTAGCGTGTGAAGCGTTCACAGTGTGTGTAGCGTGTGAAGCGTTCACAGTGAGTGTAGCGTGTGAAGCGTTCACAGTGAGTGTAGCGTGTGAAGCGTTCACAGTGAGTGTAGCGTGTGAAGCGTTCACAGTGAGTGTAGGGTGTGAAGCGTTAACAGTGAGTGTAGCGTGTGAAGCGTTTACAGTGTGTGTAGCGTGTGAAGCGTTCGCAGTGAGTGTAGCATGTGAAGCGTTTACAGTGTGTGTAGCGTGTGAAGCGTTTACAGTGTGTGTAGCGTGTGAAGCGTTCACAGTGTGTGTAGCGTGTGAAGCGTTCACAGTGTGTGTAGCATGTGAAGCGTTCACAGTTAGTGTAGCATGTGAAGCGTTTACAGTGTGTGTAGCGTGTGAAGCGTTCACAGTGAGTGTAGCTTGTGAAGCGTTCACAGTGAGTGTAGCGTGTGAAGCGTTTACAGTGTGTGTAGCGTGTGAAGCGTTCACAGTGAGTGTAGCTTGTGAAGCGTTCACAGTGAGTGTAGCGTGTGAAGCGTTCGCAGTGAGTGTAGCATGTGAAGCGTTCACAGTGAGTGTAGCGTGTGAAGCGTTCACAGTGAGTGTAGCGTGTGAAGCATTCACAGTGAGTAGCGTGTGAAGCGTTCACAGTGTGTGTAGCGTGTGAAGCGTTCACAGTGAGTGTAGCGTGTGAAGCGTTAACAGTGAGTGTAGCTTGTGAAGCGTTCACAGTGAGTGTAGCGTGTGAAGCGTTAACAGTGAGTGTAGGGTGTGAAGCGTTCACAGTGAGTGTACCGTGTGAAGTGTTCACAGTGAGTGTAGCGTGTGAAGCGTTCACAGTGTGTGTAGCGTGTGAAGCGTTCACAGTGAGTGTAGCGTGTGAAGCGTTCACAGTGAGTGTAGCGTGTGAAGCGTTAACAGTGAGTATAGCGTGTGAAGCGTTCACAGTGAGTGTAGCGTGTGAAGTGTTCACGGTGAGTGTAGCGTGTGAAGCGTTCACAATGAGTGTAGCGTGTGAAGTGTTCACAGTGAGTGTAGCGTGTGAAGTGTTCACAGTGAGTAGCGTGTGAAGCGTTCACAGTGAGTGTAGCGTGTGAAGCGTTCACAGTGAGTGTAGGGTGTGAAGCGTTCACAGTGAGTGTAGGGTGTGAAGCGTTCACAGTGAGTGTAGGGTGTGAAGCATTCACAGTGAGTGTAGGGTGTGAAGCGTTCACAGTGAGTGTAGCGTGTGAAGCGTTCACAGTGAGTGTAGGGTGTGAAGCGTTCACAGTGAGTGTAGCTTGTGAAGCGTTCGCAGTGAGTGTAGGGTGTGAAGCGTTAACAGTGAGTGTAGCTTGTGAAGCGTTCGCAGTGAGTGTAGCATGTGAAGTGTTCACAGTGAGTGTAGGGTGTGAAGCGTTCACAGTGAGTGTAGCTTGTGAAGCGTTCACAGTGAGTGTAGCTTGTGAAGCGTTCGCAGTGAGTGTAGCGTGTGAAGCGTTCACAGTGAGTGTAGCTTGTGAAGCGTTCGCAGTGAGTGTAGGGTGTGAAGCGTTAACAGTGAGTGTAGCTTGTGAAGCGTTCGCAGTGAGTGTAGCGTGTGAAGTGTTCACAGTGAGTGTAGGGTGTGAAGCGTTCACAGTGAGTGTAGCTTGTGAAGCGTTCACAGTGAGTGTAGGGTGTGAAGCGTTCACAGTGAGTGTAGCATGTGAAGTGTTCACAGTGAGTAGCGTGTTAAGCGTTCACAGTGCGTGTAGCGTGTGAAGTGTTCACAGTGAGTAGCGTGTGAAGCGTTCACAGTGAGTGTAGCATGTGCAGGGTGTGTAGCGAGTGCAGCTAGCGCAGATCCCCCACTGGTTAGCGCGGTGTCACGCTCATCACTCGCGACCCTGTGCTCTCTCGCCGCTCCATTACTTGTCCTATTTATGTAACATTTTCAATCGGAGTGAGCGATTGAAGCCACTGCAAAGAGTGTAATTAATTTCCCTCTGAATTCCGAGGGACCCATCATATCTTGCATCCGAGCGGAGTGACGGCTGCGTTATACGGAACGTTGGCTGTCGCCCTCCTCCCCCTCCTTCTCCCTGGGCTTGATTGCTTCATTTCTCATTTGAGGTGCAAATTGCTGCGTCCTCTCTTTAATCACTGGGATTGTGCTCTCTGTCTCCTCCCAGGTCCCCAATCGCCCCAAGCACTACGGCCGAGAGTGAGTTCCCATTCGTCTTTCACCCGCACAGGAGCCACGGTGGCGAGATGTTAACTACCTCGCCGGGTTTACAGGATGTTGCGAGTTCGATCCCGACCCTGAGATGCCCGCCGTATAATTGAAGTTTGCGTGTCTCCACATTTAGAATCAACATGCGTTCAGGGTATTTGGCTGCAATACATTTATACGTGATAAGCCGCTAATGTGAGCTATCATTTTTTGAACAGGTCGCTTCTGAAAAAGAGCTATACAGCTCAGTGGGCCTTGCCTGGAAAAAAATAGTTTTTGTTTAACGCTCTGCTAATCAGATTGCGGATTAACGTACTTGTTCCTTTTATGCGTAGCCTGGCCTCATTATCAGTTGCTCCTCACTCGTCGACAGTCGGTGACTCATCGCCCACATGACTGCAGACACGTCGGCGGGCAAGGCAATTACTTTAAGAAAAATAAAAACAGGCGACCCATTCTGCACGCTCACCCCCATGCCACATAGGTAAGCAATGCATTTAACCAACTTAAAAACGAACTTAAACTAACTTAAAAAAATACTTACACCAGGTAAGGCCCACTGAGCTATATAGCTCTTTTTCAGAAGCGGCCTGGGCACAAATGAGAGCCCAATGAAGTGGCTTATCACGTGGAAATTTATAGCAGCTCAATACTCTAAACGCATATTCGAAATGTGGAAGGGAAAATCGGAGAACCCGGAGAAAAATCCACACGACCACGGAGTGAGAGAGAACATGCAAACTCCAAATATACAGCAGCAGGCGTCAGCGTCAGGATCGAACCCACGACCTCCTGTATACCAGGCGAGGCCGTTAACATCAAATACATTTAAATGCCCTAATTTTGCACACGCGTTGGATAACCTCTCCCAGATAATTGAGAGTTATAAACACCACTGCTGGACTTTTCCACCCGTGGAACCGACGTCGAGGGTGTAGCGCTATCGCTGTGGCACCCTGCACAGCGCCCTGCACAGCGGGTGTGACATCAGGACCCGGTGTGCGTCTCACAGCGTGGACCTGTCAGTGTAAACCTCTGGAGGCTCCCACGGCCGTACACTTTTATCACATGAAAGCGCGCGTGTTTCTATCATCGTTAATAATTAAATTGTGCGGTTCGCTGTCGAGAAAACCCGCGGTTCGGTGATGAAAGGCGCAGGCGAGCGGCGGGACGTGGATGGAGCAGACTTCTAGTTCGAGTTGGGAAAAAAAGGACTCCCGATGATGGACTTTTGAAAGCGCTGCCATGGACTTTTACAGAGCCCCGGAGGCGTTTTTTTTTTCTTTTCTGGCATTGGCTTCCATGAAAGACGGAGAGCTTGAGCCGCAGGCCAGGGGCTCACGAGGCCTACCGGGTCAGAGCCGTAGGCTGCGTGAGGGCCACGCGGTCGCTTGGGACCGGCCCATCGGTGGCACCAGAAGATGGTTGTGGTTTTGAACGTCTGCACCGTGGAGAGCCCCATGTGGACATAGATGGGCGTGGAACTATTCAACTCCCCCCCCCTCCCCCCCCCCCATGGCACCTTTCGATGGATTGTCACGAGTCGTCGTCAACATTCAACAATTCATTCCCCTCGTTTGTAGTCTTTCAGTTGTGGTGTCCGTTTTGTATGTTTGGTCTCATTTGTTCCGTGCCATTACGGAATTTTTTAACGGGAATATAATGTCACATAAATGTAGTCTCGCACGTGCAAAGCGTCGCACGCACAAACGTCTTTTAAACAGATTGTTGCGTCGTGGAATCCTTACGGGCACGGATAAGGTATAAACAACAAGCCACAGATAAGGTATAAACAACAAGCCACAGATAAGGTATAAACAACAAGCCAAGCGGGGAACAGGATAAAAGGTAGCACGTTGCCATCGGCAGCACAGCGTGGAGTTCAGAGAGCATCGCACGAGGCCTGGAAATGCATTTAAAATGTTATTGATTTAACGGTTCAAACAGCTTCGCTGCATCTGCATAAAATCCGTCTCCATTGCAGCGGGGCCGTTGTCTCGCCCGATGTTGTGCAAAATGCATCGCCATTGGTTGTATGCTCCACCGAAGCAAGCAGAACCAAAATAATGGCTTCATCTGAGGAATCTGACCCTTGGCTCTCTGAGAGACAGGGGTCATTTTCTCAAGACAAAATGCGCGACGTTTATACGAGTGTAGTAAAAAAAACTGTAACGAAATTGTCATGTCGTTTATTTTCTCTCTCTCTCTATCGCTCGCTGTCCCCTGCATGTGTAATCTGGGTGCCTGCACTGCTTGCCTCGCCCAAGGTTCCACGGGATGATCTCGCGAGAAGACACGGACAAGCTCCTCGGAGGGCTCGAGGGGAGCTACCTGATCCGGGAGAGCCAGCGTCAGCCGGGCACCTACACGCTGGCGCTGCGGTGAGAGGCTCGCGCCCCATCTCTACCCCTCCCCCCCACCCCCCCCCCCCCCAACCCACCCCCCCCCCCCCCCCCCACTTAAAACTAAACTGGTGGTAAAAACCGGGGGACCCGGAGAAAAAAATCCACACGACCACGGGGAGAACACGCAAACTCCAAATATACAACAGGCGTCAGGGTCGGGATCGATCACACGACCTCCTGTGTACCAGGTGAGGTGGTTAACATCTCCTAGCCACCGCGGCACCCCTGTTTTGTATGCATGCACGGTATATTCTGGTTAAATCTGAAATTTTAATACCTTGACAGAGTGTCTTATGAGACCCCCGAGGAAGTATTTCTATCATATTTACAAGAGTCACAGCCCTGTCCTGGGAGTAATGTAGTCCACGTTGTAATCTTGTTAGATCTCGGAGATTGATGCTTTGCATGGCATTTAATTATGGTAATTGACAGTGGGAGCAAGTCTAAATCATTGTGTGTTGTTCACACGTGTCACTGCAACAGAAGACCCGGTATGAGTGTGCGTGTGTATGCGGTAGTGTAGCGGTTAGCGTGCTGCGCTACGAACCCGGCGACACGGGTTCGATTCCCGCTCACGGCGAACACCAGTGACGATTATCTGAACCGGTCCTGGGCCTCCCCTAGGTCGATTCAGTCTCCAATGAGTATCTGGTGCGGTGTCTAAACATCGCCGCTAGGGAGACAAAGGCGGCCGGGCGTGGTGTTGGCCACCCACCCCCTCATGTGCCGTGCCGGCCTTTATAGGTGCTCGCTAACAGCACTTGCCCGTACAGTCTGTTAAGGCTATGCGGGGGATCTTTGTGTCTTTGTTTTTGAATGTTTGTTTGGAGTGTGCGTATTTCCCGACCATGGTGAACATTGGTTGCTCGTGACGTCTGGACCAGTCCTGGGCCTCCCCTGGGTTGACTCAGCCTCAAGTGATTATCTGCTTTTACGTGTGAAACATTAGCACTTGGGATACAAAGGTGGCCGGGAATCATGCTCGCCCCACTTCCCCCTCGCGCGCCGCGGTGCTGCGCTTAATAGGTGTTCGCGAACATCACTCCCTCCAGCAGCCTGCGTAAGCTATCAAGGGACCTTTAACTTTGTGTCTGCGTCTTTGTCTCCATGTGTATGCGTTTGATTGTTTGTGTGTGCTTGCTCGCTTACAGTACTTTCCCCGAAAGTCTTGGTACGACTCTGGGGGGAGTGGGGGGGAGGGGGATCTTTGTCTCCGTGTGCACGTGTGAGGAGCGGTGGTGCAGCGGTTAGCTCGCTGCGCTACGAACCCGGCGACGCGAGTTTGATTCCCGCTCGTGGCCAACACCGGTGACGGTTATCTCGAACCGGTCCTGGGACTTCCCCAGGTCGACTCAGCCTCAAATGAGTACCTGGTGCGGTGTGTGAAAATCATCACCACCGGGGAGACAAAGGCGGCCGGGCGGGGTGCCGGCCACCCACTCTCTCGTGTGCCATGCCGACCTTCATAGGTGCTCGCTAAAGCACTTGACCCAACAGTCTGTTACAGGCTATACGGGAGATCTTTATCTTTGTGTGTAGATTCACTCTGCCTCAAATGAGTACCTGGTGCGGTGTGTAAACAACGCCACCGGGAAGACAAAGGCGGTCGGGCGTGGTGCTGGCCACCCACCTCCTCTTGCACTGCCTCCACAAGTGCTCACTAACTCCACTCGTCCCAAAAGTCTATGAATGAGGGGTTATTTTAGTCTTTGTATGTGCTAAAGGCCGCCATCATTTGCACTCTTCATTCTCTCAACAATGAATTCGGTTCTCCTGTCGACCGAAGCTCGTGCAGTGCGTCCATGTGCCCAGCACCCAACGAGAAACAGGAAGCCAGACGGATGTACGGGTGAGTCCCGATTCATAGCCCAGCGCTGCTAATGGCAAACGATCACTCGCTGCAATTACGTTTATTTTGTAGCACCCCCGCCAATGAAACAGTTCGAAAAAAAGAATACTTTTTACCAAGTTGTTATAGCTGCCTCACTCCGTAGATCCGAGGAACGCTTTTAACGTGTTAAAGAAAGCATGCATTTGTTCATGCATGGTTCTTGCAAATGAGAGTTCAACACAAAGTTGTATTTACCAATGGCTTCTCTCCCCATCAGCCCCATCAGATTGTGCCGTGCTCCGTTCTGGTCAGAGGACAAGTGAAAGGCGTGCCCAGAATCCTGCTATGTCCAGCTGTTGCAGAAGTTTTGCCCTGCCTGTGAGTGGAGAGGTGTAACCTTGAAATTAAACCAAGAGCCGGAAAGAGGAATGCACGGATAAGAGAACGTACGCAAGTTAAAGGCCTCATGGGACCTCCTTTGCCAGTGCCAAAATATGAGAATAGGTTTTCCCCCTATTTTCTGGCAACAAAACAGCTGTGTTAAGATGTTAAAACACCAAACTGAAACCTTTTACAAGGAATCATGTCTGCATTAGCCACAATACTTGTGCTCAGAATGCAAACAAAAAACATACTCTGATCATATATGCATTGTCTTTGAAACTGATTGATCCACACCAGAGATAGCTTGCTTTGGAGCCTTGTCTCAAAAGGTGGTAGACCAGAGGACGACGATGATGATGATGGGTAAAACCCCATGCGCGGCCGAGGGGAGTTTCTCGCAGTGCCAAACCCTTCCCTGTCAACCAGGTGCCTCCCGCATATAGAAGTCACGTGACGGGCAATCGCGGATAAACACGTGCATTCTCGCTCTTAAATTAATTAATGAATAAGTGAGGGGCACCACTGCGCGTGCCGCGTGCCCGGGATGCAGGGGCTTGAATGGAATGGCAAGAACAGGCAGACGTACAATTTCCAGCTTAACGGACCCCTTAATCTGCAGAGCAGCTCTCATCTACAGCGAAGACTTGGACCGGGACCAAAAATCCTCTTTAGTGGCATTAAGTATTAACGGCAAGGAGCACAGACACTTGCCAGCCGAGTCTGAGAATAGCCGGCCTCTCTCCCGCATTACGCTTCGTGTCATCGTCAAGATTTGCAGTCCAAAAGGGCCACGATAAGTGCAAGTCCTTTATTGTTGTTGCGTATCTGCATGAAAGCCTCTTTAAAACCCAATTGTTGGACAATCTTGAGCTCTTATTGCATCTGTTATCACGGATTTCCTGATAAGAGTACGGATGTTGCCGGGGTCCCACAATCTGCAGCGTGTCGTTTTTCCCATCATGCGCCGGCCGTGTATTTGATTATTTTCCCGGCTGTTGACGCATCTTTGTCTCGAGCTGCTCTCACGCCTCTCCCAAGGGTCCTCGGCCAAGACGCCGGTGGCATCTCCGTTGTTCTTAATAACGACGAGAGGCAACTGTACTGCTCACAGAGGCAATAGGGTCTGGATTCATATCGGCGGCCACGTCTCAAGATGCTGTGCAGAAACAGTGAGCGCGTGTGTTTATGTTGTACGTAGACGGAGTCGGTCATCGGTAGTGGGGGGGGGGGAAGGAAAATCTTGAGCCTTGACTTAAACAGGGACAGGGAATTCCTGATTGTGGGAGCAGCAGAGGGGAATTAGCGACCTGCAGTTGTGCCCAGATCCAGTTGTGTTTTTTTTTTCCGCCCGCAGAAGGCCTTGGTTGCCGGAGTGCCTGTAACGGTATCGGCAAGCTTGCAACGCAGTCTGTAACGGTATCGGCAAGCTTGCAACGCAGTCTGTAGCGGTATCGGCAAGCTTGCAACGCAGTCTGTAACGGTATCGGCAAGCTTGCAACGCAGTCTGTAACGGTATCGGCAAGCTTGCAACGCAGTCTGTAACGGTATCGGCAAGCTTGCAACGCAGTCTGCGCGCGAGCGGCAGTGACTCGCACTCAAGCACCCGCATCTGAAGTTTTCTTCAAGCGTGAAACGCGTGCGTGGGATACAAGTCAGATTCATAAACTGCTGTTGGCGCTGTTCTCCGAAGCCTCGGTGCTGCGACGGCCTCGACTGCGCTCTCTGCTGTTGTTCTGCACGATGCAGTCGTGCTTGGGTTAGTGCTGACGATTCGACTGCGTGCGCTGGGCGCAACGGCCTCTTAAGCTGAGGCCACGGCCGAGTGCGAGCACCCAGGACTGAGGCGTGAGCAGACGCGTGCTTATAGTTTGTGTACAGAATGCGTACAGTTTATATACACAACGCATATACGGTAATGCGCCCTAATGGCCCGTGACAGGCGACACTGTGCATTTAAATTGCTGTTCCTGTACTCGCCGTCCAAGGGCAAAATTCAGTTGCCTGAGCTGAAGGCGTGAAATTGATCGGATGTTTCTGACTGATGACGGCATGTGCAATTATGCGCGGACCCACACAGTTGAACAGTTGTGTTCGCAATGGGACTTGGCCCTTGTGGAAAATGACCCCCCCCCCCCCGCTCTTTTGGATGGCGACGGGGAACAGCGGCCGTGCGCGCGGAGCCCCTCGCCGCTGCCGGGCGGTTGACGCTCTCTCGCCGCTCGTTGCAGAGGCTCGCCCTGGTTATGAACTTTGAACTTCTTTCACACCGTACGTAGCCAATCTTGGTAATCTAAAGAAACTAGTTTTCAATCTAGATGATTCAAAAGTGGATAGATCCCAGTGGCTTCCTAATATCGGAAGAAAGAGCATTCCAGACGACTGCCGAAATGCATCTGAAAGCACGAGATGCGTTGACCGTCTGTTTTTTGATGGCTTGCCAAAAGCTGCTGCGAGGATGACTGGAGTTGTTTCACGTGATGAAATTGATGAAAAACAGTTATTTTGCTGTGCCTTTTTTACACCTGATGAAGGAAGCTTGTGTTGCCTCCGAAACGGCGTGATTTGATTCTTTTTAATTTAAATGCAATGTTATTTATTATTATTATTTTACCTATTTGACTTTACCTAAAGAACCAAAGAGTATTTCACGTGATGGTTTATGCTCCGTGACAAGATCATGGGTTCGATCCGGACTCTTATAGCTGTATATTTGGAGTTTGCATGTCTCTCTCCCGGTGATCACGTTTATTTTTCACATGTTGATTGTAAATTCTCCACATTTAAAATCAACATGCGTCTAGGGTATTTGTCTGCTATAAATTTCCACGGCGATGAGACACTTTGTCGAGCGATCATCTGTGACCAGGTCGCATATGAAATAGAGCTATGTAGCTCAGTGGTCCTTACCTGGTAAAACAAAAACAGTAAAAGTAAAAATAGTATGTGTGGTGAGTTTTCTCACGGGGAGAACACGCAAACTCCAAATATACAGCAGCCGTCGGGGTCGGGATCGAACCCACGGCCTCCTGTGCGCAAGGCGGTGATGCTCAAAGCTGCGCGACAGATAGATCCAAGTCGTATCCGTTGCTGCCCTGCCATCTTGTAGTGACCTCACAGCTCGTGGCTACAACCCTTGGTCCTCTATCCAAGGTAGTCATCCATCCAAGTACAAACTAACCCCGCTTGACTTGCACGACCTGATAAAGTCAGGTGCATTCGTGGCCCCGTGGCCAAAATGCCGGCAGCCGCTGAGACGAAATCGGGTTTGGTCCACTGTGCCCCGTTGTCTTTCGCCATCCGCGCGGCGCGCGGGGCGCGGGGCCCCCGGGATCGCATCGCGCGGGGGGGGGGGGCGTTTTCTGTTTTCTCGTTGCGCGCCCAACACCGACCGCTCGCGCGCCGCGTTCGCCCGCCGCGGGCGCGGTCCGCGAGATGCCGCAGAGCGATTTCGTGGCTTTGTAAGGGGACCGGCTCGAGGGCCAGGCGAATGGGGGGGGTTATTGAGAAGGGTAGCAGCGTGGGAATGTTTCATCCCAGGCGGAGGTGGGGGGGGGGGAAGGTGGAAGGCCTCAGCACCTGGTAAATACGCTCGAGCTGCTTCATTTCCACCCCCATTGCTTTCGGCAGCTTGGCTGGGCACGAGATCGATATCTGCCCTCGGTCGTTTTAACAAGCCACGATCCACGGGCGCTTTTGAAGACGCCTTGTGGAGATTAGGGCAGCCTTGTGCATAGTAGTGCGGCAGTATGGGTTGGGGGGGGGGCAGGAGATGATACCTTTTGCCGTTTAATTCGAGGACCTGGCTTTTACGTGACCTTTTTTTTTGTGTGCCGGCGAGCGGATTTGTGGTCGCTCCGCAGATGGCGACGGGTCCGAGTGGGGGCGTACCTGCTAAGTGCTGGGAGTTTTTTATTGTATTGTATATATATTTGACCGCCATAGCACTCGGAGTGCCCGAGCTTTACGTCAAAGGGGTACGTGAGCTATTTTTAGTCTTGCCTGGCTCCCACGGGCTGGTTAGTGAGAAACCCAGTAGCGATATCATCGCTCTCCCTTGCTTGACACAGGTGTCACAGGAGATACGAGAGCGTGAGCAAAGGTTGCTGCTGCTGCTGCGCGTGTTTATTGCGTGCGGTGCTGAGACGAGTGTGGCGTTTATTGCACAATGGGGTGCTGCTGCTGCTGTTGCTGCTGCTGCTGATACTGCCGGTGATCAATGATGAGTCAGGTAGTTTTTTTTTATATACACTGAATATCATTGGCATCTCCAGTCCTATTCATCGCGACGCGGATTGGCCCCGCCCACTGATCACGGTGCCACAGAGAGGTGGGACGCGTCCACGGCTTCATCGCGAAGGAGCAGTTGAGAATTCTTCAACACGCTCAAAAAAAATCCCTCCGGTGTTCTTTGAGAGCTGCAGCAGAAAGGAGACATCCCAGAGATGTTCCAAGAGAGAGGGGGAATCCCACTGCTCGTCGACCGCTGCCCGAGAAGCCGCTGGCCGTCGCCGTCAAATGCCACTGAGCAAAGGCGCGGTGATGCGGCTCGCCGGGCTGGAAGCCGCGGTGACCCCACGAGCGGGTTGCGCTCGCACCCAGACCCCGCCGCCGCCCCCGTGTTTTGAACCGCAAGCCCGTTCGTTGCTTTGACGCGTTACAGCTTGGAACTGAACGGACTTAAAAAAAAAAAACTGAAAGCCGCCGCGTTTTCCGCTATTTAATCAAGACGGCACTTATACGAGCGGCAGCTTCTAACATTGCGCCTAATTTCACCGCGCATAAGCTGCACGGCGTGCTTTGATCACCGTGCCCGCCGAGTTTTCTGGCCAAGTGATGGAATGGCACAAGGGGCTCAACAATTGCCTCCACATGTGGCACAGCATCAGATTAACTTCATTTTTTTAAAACGGGGGGCGGGGGGGAGGCGCGGGAGGTGGGTTTGAATGCTCGCTGCAATTGTGGGTTTCCTGAAACGGTAGCGTTGGGCAAAATCCGTGAGGCCCCTTCAACTGAAAATAGGAGTCAGAAGCTGTTGTTTACGTCTAGCCTGCGATTCCTTTCATGTGCAGACATTAGAGATGATTGCGTACGTTTAAATACAGGTACTTTTAAAATCACTGTGTTTCCTGTTGGCTTTCGTGATCCAAATTTCATGGCCGCCGAGAATGTTGGGCATATTTATTGTCACGAAATATGACGCCAAATTCTATTTTTATTTACTGCTAATTCTCGTCGTAAAGGTTACCCAGTGTGAATTAAAACTTGAGTTTTGAGTTGTGTTGTTATCAGGGGGTCTATCAAAATTGAAATCCAGCCAAAGGGTTTCCCTGAACTGAGAGACAGAAATCATTGCTAAAGGGACACGGCTCGGCTGTCCGTCACCACGGGGAGAGCCGCTGTCCATCACCACTGAGCTTGCGCCAGGCCAAGTACACTGCTTAACTCTGTGTATGTGTGTTTGTGTGCATGTATGTATGTTGAACTTCTTTCACATCATGCGTGACCAACAGTGCTAAAGGGAAGTGCGGGGTGAAGGACCGCAAACTAAAACAAAAACTAAACCAGCTGAGCTGCTCAACTATCCGTTAAATTTGCGAGCGAGCAACGACCGCTACCATCGCTTTCATCGATCACCCCTGTGGGCGCCGCAGATTCGGGAACCAGACGCGCAACTTCCGCCTCTTCTACGACGGGAAGCACTTTGTGGGCGAGAAGCGCTTCGAGTCGATCCACGACCTGGTCACGGACGGCTTCATCACCCTCTACGTGGAGACCAAGGCGGCCGAGTACATCGCGCGCATGACCATCAACCCCATCTACGAGCACGTGGGCTACACCACCGCCGGCTCGGCGGGGCCCGCGGGAGGCGGTGGCGGCGGCGGCGGCGGGAGCGGGAACTGGCGCGCGGCGCGCTCGGGCGCCGCTCGGGACGTCCGCGCTGTCACGCCGTCCGCGCTCGCGGACAACGATCTGAGCTCGCCCGGCGACAAGGTAACCACGGGGACGACTTGAAACTTTCGTGACTGCAGGAATTCTTATTCTCGGGTTCTTTCGGTAAAGTCGTGTAGATGGACAATACAAATAAAATGATAAAATAAAAATAAAAAATTTTTAAATAATAAATTGAAGATAATTAAAGCAAACCCCCCCCCCCCCCCCACGACGTTTCGATCGCAACACAAGCGGCCTTCATCAGGCGAACTTTACCGAAAGAACCACGAATATCAGAATCAGAATATTTGTTTATACTGTTTGAGCTTTTATTGGCTATTTTTCACAGACGTCCAGTCAGGGGCGAGTAAGAGCGTTACAACAACAAACAATCCAAAAACACGACAGCAGTGCCAAGTACAGCAGAGGCAAATGCAAAGTGGCGGCGATGTCGCCGCAGACCTTTTGTGGGCCCGGTCTGGGTGCGCTGCTCAAACCGGCCGTTGGAAAGCGACCGAGCGGCCTCCGTACGCGGGAGATGCGCACGCGCGATGATTTGCCCTGTCGTGTCGTCACGACGGTTCGGGTGGGTCGCCAGTTTTGCGATGGACATGTGGTAACGCACCGAGGCTGGCAATCGCCCGCAATGTAATGCTCGCCACGACAAGGTGACACGCTCAAGGTAACGCACGCAATGTTTACAGAGGCGAAGGTCGCCTTTAACAGACTTAGGGCAAGTGCTGTTGGCGGGCACCTTTGAAGGCCGGCACAGTACACGAGGGGGTGGGTGGCCAGCACCACGCCCGACCACCTTTGTCTCCCCCAGTGGCGATGTTTTTGTTACACATCGCACTAGGTACTCATGTGATGCTGAGTCGACCTATGGGAGGCCCAGGGACGGGTTTAGATCATCGTCACTGGTGTTGGCCGTGAGTGGGAATCGAACTCGAGTAGCCGAGATCGGAGTCCGGCGTAGCGCTAACCGCCATACCACCGCTCCCCACACTACACACACACACACGCGCGCGCGCGCGCCCGCACCGACGATGTAACGCACACATGCACACAAGGTCAAATGGCAACGTTCTTTGCGCACAGCCACGGCGCCATGCTTGGGCGCAGGAGATTTAACGGAGTGTTTACGCGCATCTGATGAATAATCCAAACAGAGCAATTACTCTGCGCTTTTTTTTCTCCCACATCTTGATGTCTTAAACTTGAAAGTTGCGTGGGCTGCCTGTGTCACGTCCGGCACTGTAAACATAACCACGGGACCCCCTAAACAAACCCCAACGAGTCATCGTCCGGCTTCGCCGGCAGGAAGGGGAGCAGAGATTGGAGATATCCTATTTTTAAATCTACCACAGTTATCGCAACGTCAAACAATTATTGGCTCACCGCGGCAGTGACGACATTGAACATTGGCACGTGACGATGTGGCGGTGGTTAATTTTAGCGGTAATAACAATTTTTGATGTTATTTCATATTTTTAAATACCGATGTTTATGATTGAGCTGGCGAGGGATGGTGTTTTTGTTGCGTTGAGATTGGGTTAGGGTTGGGGTTTATATTGGGGTGAGGTTTGGGTGAGGGTCTGGTGTTGGCTTGGTTATGGTTTTGTTTGGGTTGCACTCGGGTTGGAGGTTTATGTTGGGTCATAAATGAGTATGGGTCAAATCAGCGATACTTGAACTCCTCACAGATGTCCTTGATTTACCAAAGCCTGCCGCAGCAGGATTTACTGCACCCGAATCCCATTCAAAGTTCCTCCTTTCATTCTTCCACATTCACTCTCCCTTACAAACATAAACAAAAGCCCTGACTGTATAATTCCCCATCACAGTTGGCCATTAATCACACCCCTGGTGTCTCCCCCTCCCCACCCCGCCTCTCCACCGCTCTCCATCCCGGCCGAGTCCAATTATTCCGCACAAATGGGCTGTGACGCACACGAGGCTCTGGTTTGCCCAGAGGGGGGCAAATGCCCCGTGAGGCAAGGCAACTTGCAGGAGCACCTCCTCCTCAAGCTCAAATGAAGAGTTTTGGTAAAAAAATGACCTTTGTGAAACGAGGGGATGCAAGTGGTGTTTGTGGGTGCCATTAATTTCTGATTCATGGGGCTGCGCTAACAACGTATTGATGTTTGCTTTGCGCGTGCGTGTGCGCATGTATCTCGATAGCGCGGTCAGCGCGCTGCGGCCCTACGAACCCGGCTCACCTGAGTTCAATTCCTGCTCACGGACAACAACGGTGACGATTATTTGAACCGGTCCTGGGCCCCCTCCTAGGTCGACTCAGCCTCAAATGAGTCCCTTGTGCGGTGTTTAAACATCGGCACTGGGGAGACAAAGGCGGCCGGGCGTGGTGTTGGCCACCCACCCCCTCGTGTGCCGTGCCGGCCTTCATAGGTGCCCGCTAACAGCACTTGCCCCAACAGTTTGTTGAGGCTACACGGGGGATCTTTGTCTTTGTACCTCTTGTGTGGCGAGCCGCAGCGCTAGCGGTTGACACGTACGTTACAAAAGAAGATCAACATGCTTCAGAGAGGTTTTTTTTAGTTACATCGCGTAAATATGAATGTCGTTAAATCTGCAACCACCCGAAACATACAATTAGTGAGGTTTGTCACGTAAACAAAAAATGCCAATTAGTTGCTAGTTCAGCACACCGGTTGTGTTGGAGAGTAAACGTTTCATCGGTAATTGAATCTAGCGTTGTCAGGCATGCATACATATCTATCTATCTATTTGCAAGCGAATAATCCGGATTCCTATTCAACGTTATCACGTGCTTGAGGGATTGTTAAAATACATGCGTACAGTATTTAGATTTGTTAGGAACAAAAAAAATTGCCTGTTCGTCCGCAGGAGTCGCCGGATAGTGGAGCGTTGGACATCGTGAGCGTTGTCACGGCGGTCACGTGGCTCTGCTCTTTATTTTTTTCACGCTGGAATGCAGTCGAGGAGCAAATGTCGCAAAGCGATTACACTAAAAGCACAACTGTCCAAATCGGCTTCGGATGACTGCTGCGATCCCAGCGGCTGCGTAATTTGATCATGTCAGGGCATTGGTAAAATCCAACATTCAAATAGTGGGTCAGCAAAGTGCACGATCGCTTGGGGAGGGAGGTGGGGGCATGTGGCTGAGTGTGCGCCCACGCTCGCGCAGCTCTTGCAAAGACGAGCGCCCTCACACGCACAAGAATGGGCGGGTTATTAATCGGTTCACGTTACCTGCTACAGACACGTGGAGCAGCAGAACGTGGACATTGGCAAAGAAGCACGGGGAGGTGCATCCTTGGAATTGCACTGAGAGACAGAAAGAGAAACACGTGGATTAGGGACGGTATGCAAGTCGGAGACATCATCTGGATTGTGTTGAGAGACGTAAGTGGGCTTGGGCAGGACGCGTCGCTCGACGTCACTCGACGTGTCCTGGTGGAGACTAACAACGGGAGTTACGGCCAAAGGAGGCAACACGCCCCCGAGGAATTCGGAGCGATGACAATTGGCTCGTGTGCAGGTCGCTGGATGCATTGTGAGAGACGGCAACGGCTTGGCCTTCGTCCAGCGGCGAATGGGTTCCCGGCTGATGACGCGTTACCTCCGCATCGAGTCTGGCGCGCTGCAGTGCCGTGGGCGGCTGCGAGGCTGGCGTCTGCACACCGTTGCGTTCCTCGTAGTCCCTGGCGGATGCTCCGCTGGGATTGGGCTGTCTCTCAGACAGAAATAAGCATGACTTTGTTTCATCACCACAAGGTCGTTCATTAACTAATTCGACCCGCCGGGGGCAGAAATTCACTACGTGTGTCCGTAAGTAAAAGTTGCGCTATTTGAAATCATGCTGTCGTTTTACTTTGCACCACATCGAAATGTATGGTTTGTTGGGTCGCCCAAATTGGCTGGTGCCCTGGGCTGATGCAGTGGAAATTGTTCCATAGATGGGCTCGGGTGAAGCATAATTAAACATTTATCTCACGCCGTGATCCTGACGCAAGTGTCCCCTTGGGCACGGTTACATTTAATGTCCAGTGGACAGAATGGAGTGGTGTTCCGCTGTGGTGAGCGGTGGTGATGGTGAGGCTCGCAGCAGAGCCCTGTCAGCAAGCCGTGTAGGCTGGGGTTGGAGGGCCACTTGAGGATGGGGGAGCGTCACTCTGGCCTAGATTTACACACTCGCTGCCCTTCGTCAGACGGCACATTAGAATTTACCGGGGCGTCAATGTGAGCCTTGTCAAGCCAATGAAACATTTCTGAACATTTAGGATCTCACTCTTTTTAGCAACATTTATTATTTGTTTACTTTCAGCTGACAGACGTTGCATATTGAATGCATAAGGTGCAGTTGTTATCATGTCGAAGAACGCGTGGAAACATGATGGGATTACACGACTGAGTTTGCCGTGTCGACAGTGAAACGCTCTTGCAGTGGTGCAGGAGGGGGCTTGTGTAGGCACTGGCTGCATTTTCAGAAAGCAGAATAGTGAGCTGGATTAAGAGGTCAGACCCAACATTTCCTCTGCATATCCTAAACACAGTATTAACCATGTCTTGTGCTAAAAGCTCACCGCCTGTTCGTAAGCTAAACTAGTGCACCCGAGTATTATTTGTTAATTTTTATTATTTTTCAATGTCCAGGCATCTAAATTTAGTGTTTGTGGTTTTAATTGTAATTGGGCCACTTGTTTATTATTCTGACAAATTTGCACGATGTTTTTGGAAAAAGCCCCTCTTGATTTACAGGAAATTGTTCATCGGGAAACGTGAGTCACATGAGCGGTGCCCTGCGTCGCATCGCGCCTTGAGAAAAAAACACAAAATGCGCTTTAAAAGCCACAGTAGTTCCCAGCCTGCGCTGCTGACCCCACGCTGCTCGCTCACGACCACCGCCTTTTCCCTACTTTGCCCATGCTCATTTTCCGCCATTGGAATTGGCTGCTCAAAGCCCCTTGAGCCACGTCTCTTAGCGTCGCTTCTGTGTGGGTGCGTGCGCGTTGGGGCGGGGGGGGGGGTGTCCGATCAGCGCGTCAGGGTGGTGCGCATCACCGCTCGCTCGCTCGCTTTCATCCTCCTACACCACAGGCGGAGGGCGGGGGGGGGAGAACGGTGTCGGGCGATGCACGAGCAAGCAAGCTGGCGCCTGAAATAAATTAATTTATCCGGGCAGAATCACGCGGCTTCAGAAACTGTGCCGCCGCTCCACTCCGCGAAGCCGTTGAACCTCTATCGGAGAATAGAGGCTGCTGAGGCGAGGCGTCGGTTATTCATCGCGGTTGCGACGGGACCTTCGGCCCAAGTGGGATGGGCTCGTTGGACACTCCGGCCGGCTGACCACCTGTGCGTGCCCTAATCGCCTTTTGTCAGCGAAACAGAGATGTGTCACTCGCGAGCCAGAGACGGCATTTAACGAGCCAGAGTCGGAGGTCGCGAGCCAGGGCAAGCGTTTGACGAGCCGGCGTTGCCTTGGGGAGGCAATGCCGTTACGGGGGCTCGGCCCGGGCAGCGGTGGTGGCGGTGGCGGTGGTGGTGCTCGGCCGATGCCCGCGAGTTGCTGCTGGCGCACGGCCCCACGCAGCGAGCCGGGATCGCAGCAGGAGCTGCTGGTGGCGGCGCTGGGCGGGCGCCCCGGTGCCGATGGTGGCAGAGGCGGCGGCGGCGGCGGCAAGCGGAGAGGAGCCGCCCCCTCCATCTGGCAGCCCCTGAAACTGTTGGCCTATTCGCAGCTGTCGGCGCTGGTGCGGCGCGCCACCCTCAAGGACGGCGAGCACACGGCCAAGTACGAGAAGGCGCACAACTTCAAGGTAGGGAGAGACTCGGAGACGCTCGCACCCAACGCACCAATCCTCCGCCGGCCAACTCATTTCTGCGTGTGTTTCTGCGTGTGCGTGCGTGTGTGCATGCGTGCGTGCGACCTTAAACAATTAGTCATCCCTCTCTCCACTGACAGCACTTGCTCCTACAGCCCATAAGGGGATATGTGGAATATTTTGGTTTTCTAAATGTGTGTGTGAAGGGCTTAATTTCTCACTTGATATATTCTGGATCTCTGGTAGACTGGAGTAGGCACGTGACTAGTAGCTACGGGCATTGTGGATGTGGTGTGCCGGTCGCAGATATATTTTCCAGGTCTCCAAACCTGGACAGAGGCGGCTGAAATTGAGCCCTGAGTGTGTATGTGTATGTGTGTGCGCGTATATTTGTTCCGACATGCAATGCTGTCTTTGCAACCATTATCCTTTGCAGATGATTGTTCGTGCGATCCTGCACATTGCAATCCTCCCGTTATTGAATCCTTCATTTATCCCTTTTTAAAAAAAGATGTGACACCGTGCTTTCGTGTCGCTCTTCAAAGCGTGATCCCTTCCTCTAGCCGTCCGTTCAATCCACGAACAGGATTAGCGTACGGGGTGATCAGAACTGCCCACCGCCTCGCCCACCGAGCCCGCAGCCCCCAGCTTTACCGTGCTGCGTCGGGACACCGCGCTCGTCGCTGCGGAGCTGGTATCAGCTCGTGCCGGCAGGCCGCCCCGAGTCCTCCCACGCTCTGCGAGAAACCGCTGCCATCTTCCAGACTCTGCTATGGGCTTTCATGTCTTGCTGGATAATTTCCCTGGTCTCCGGTCGACCGGAGTAGGTGGTACGTAAATGAAACGATGGCTAAAGCTATTTTTCTTTATTTAACCAGGTAAGGCCCACTGAAATATGTAGCTCCTTTTCAGAAGCAGCCCCGGGCACAAATGATAGCTCAACGAAGTGGCTCATCATCACGCGGAAATGTATAGCAGCCAAATACTCTAAACGCACGTGCCTAAATGTGGAGGGAAACGTTCGCAGGACCTGGAGAAAAATCCACGCGACCACGAGGGAGAACACGCAAACTCCAAATATAGAGCAGGTGTCAGGGTTGGGATCGAACCCACAACCTCCTGCATACCAGGCGAGGTAGTTAACACCTCGCCACCGTGGCACCTATGACTAATGGCCGCAGCCATAGCAAGAGCTACACGGGATGTGGTGTGCCGGGTAACGGAAATATTTTCCGGGCCGCTGACCCAGACAGATCGAGATCACTGTGAGAGCCACCACTTCTGCCGCCGCCTCTACAGCTGCCCTCCCCATTAACCCGCGGATCCCGTTGGCGGTCCACGATGGTTCGTATTCTAATGCTGCGGTAAATGTTACACTCTGATGTTTAATTCCACGTGTCTCTTGCCGTTACTTTGTGCATTTTTCAGCTGCTTTTATGTTTTCAAAAAAATCGCCACCACATGTGCGTGCGTGCGTGCGCGCGCGCGCGCGAGTGTTACCACATTAACAGCAGCGGTCTGCCGCTGGAACAAATTTCCTTTCACCCTGTTGTTCGGGGAAAAAAATGCACTTGTTATAAAATCACAGCCACATGGCTTCTCAATTTGCGCACGCGGTCTTTGCATTGCTAAAATTAAACATTCTCCACTTGTGCCCGTCACCCTCGTACAAAATCACCCTTTCGCTCCAAAGTGAGCCAGCCAGCCGGCCAATGGCAGGACTCTCGTCACCGGAGACCAGTGCCGCTCGGGCACGTGAAGGGGGCTCGTGTGTGTTGATGCAAGCACGGTGCACAGCCGTTGGGGGGGGGGGGGCGCGAGGGGGGGGACGGTGTATGTGAGTCACGCCAGTCGCCTTCCATCCGGCCCACTTTCGCTGCTTCCTGCTTCCCAGAACCCATTGTGAGTTAGGTCTCGAGCTTAGGTCAATGTCACGGGCTGCGTGCATGCGTGGGTGGGTGGAGGGGGTGGGGTGAGGGGGGGGTGCAGCACCTCCAGCGTTTGCTCTGTGGCCGTGACCACGGCTCGGCCCGTGCGGCTCATTCTCAGCTGCCTCTCCTCTGTGCCTCGTCCGGTCCCTGTTTATCGCACGCGATGCTGGGACCGCACGTAGCACCGCACGTTTGCTCTACGCTTGATTCCCGGCGAGACGAACAATACTACTCCTCCATAATTATGCTCTATAATAATAATAAAAAGCTTTCCACTTCGGAAATTCCCCTCCGTGTGTTCTCGCGTCACCGATGCCAACTTGCGTCCCGCTCCGCTTGTCGCAATTTGGCACACGCATTGGGGCGAAGTTTCGTTTTCTTCAGGGTACAGTCGCAGTGTTGTATTGAGCGGTACGGTAGGCTACATACGGTGTGAAAGAAGAAGTTCAGTCGTGACGCCATGTCTGGAAGTACACCGAGAGATGGGAACGGGAGCGATTGGATCGGAGAGAAAGTACATGTTAGACACATCACATTGACCATCAAGAAAAATTGGTGGGCTTGGGCAGGACGTGCCGATGCAAGGAATGAGGGCCAGTGATGAAGACTGACAAGATGGAGGAGAGGACACGCCAATCGGATGACCACGCTGGAGATGGAATGATGAGATCAGCTCACGTGCAGGAGTTCCGATGGATTTGTCCATCTTGGGGATGCAACAAATTGCATGAAGACCTTTTATCCGGCAGTGGATAAATCACGGCTTGTGATGATTTTAAGCATTTGATTGCGTTTTTAGTCGAGTACATGTTAAAACTACTTGTGGACAGATACACCTTTTTTTGCCAGATTTTTCATACAAGCATCGTTTAGAGAATTTGGCTGCTAGAAATTTCTGCGCGATGAAACCACTTAGTTGGGCTATCATTTATGGCCCAGGTCGCTTCTGGAAAACAGCTGTACAGCTCAGTGGAGCCTGACCTGGTAAAACTATTTTTTTTATTGTTTTATTAATGTGGATTGGGTGCTTACCAGCTCAGTGTGCCTTCTTCTTGGAATACATTCTAGGTTTATGATCTTAAATAAGTGCTGAAAGCAGCATCTGCTCCAACATGAAGCCACGGTGAAACGAGCATCGACCTGAGGACATCTTGTTCCTGTCCATTCATCAAAGAGCCACGGGCACTTGGAATTCAGACTATGCCATCTGGCACTGCTTTACATCTTCCTACCTACACGACGCCAAAGGGCACGGTGGGAGTGAGGAGTTTTGCGAAGGGGGAGAGAGGGAGAGAGATGGAGAGAGGGAGGGGGAGAGAGAGAGAGAGAGTGCGGCCAGGAGTTTTACGATGTATGCAGAGATGGCGCACGAGGGAGGCCGGCTGAGAATACCAACACTCAGGACGATAATGGCACAATCGGCTGATAGTTTAACACATGAGCCGTTTGCACTGCAATACAGAGATGGTGATGATGATGCGGCTGGCAAAGAGAGTGTGCGGTGGGGGGAGGGTGAGAGGCTCGAGGGCAGATGGGTCCGCAAGAGCAGCTGTATGGAGATGAGCTGAATGCGCCCAGCCAAGCAAACGGAGGGCTCATATCAAGCCTGCCCAGAGCCGTTCACACGTGACCAGGAGGCATGAATCGAGGCTTCTGTTTGTCTCTCGGTGGCGTCTCTGGAGCCGCGTGCCCTCTTTGTCTCCTTTATCCGATTGCGTAATCGCCTATTCTTAGGAATCGATGCGTGTTGCCCGGATTCCCCCCCCCCCGCCACCTCCTGCGTTTCGTTTGTTTGCAAAGGGAACGCCCCAGGCGTCTCCCGTTTTTACCTGAGCAGAACGTGTTCCCAATTCACCGATGCGGACGGTTGAGAGCGGCAGAGTCTCCTTCTTGATTCTCACGGTTTTTTTTAATTCGCGAAATCTTAACCCACGTTTTTGGCAGATGCGTGCTATTTTTTATCACGTATTTTGTCATCTCTAAATGCTTTCAATTCCCAACAAACGCTGACTTGCAAAGAAGCTTGCACCACCACCCTTCAAGCCTTATAACCTTAGTAGTACAGAGAATATTTTTTTACCTTTTAAGTATAAAATCAGAGATTCGTTGTTATTTACCCAATTGCAAGCCTCTTAACGAAACGGCACATAACGGTACAGTCAGTCTCTCCAGGCGCTCAAATAAGCATTGCGCAATGCATCGTATTTTCTAAGAAGTTCGCAGCCAGTGTTGGAAATTCCACATTCTTATGATGGAGGCCAGTTCCTTCACAGAACAACGGCATTGTCCAGCGTGTGTTGCGTGTAACGTTCTCCCAGAACTGCGCACGGGGTAGATGCAGTGGTGCGAGAACCATGTTCGCATGTACGTGCGTTGAACTTCTCTCGCACAGTACGTAGCCTACCGTGTGCTCATCGGAGGTGCGGACTTGGGGCGCTCGAACTGAAACGGTGGGAATTTCCCGATGCTGCGACGACCGCGATTCATGACGGCGACGCGTGGTGATGATGATGCTGCTGCTGCTGTAATTTCGCTTCCTTATTGTTGGACAAACTACCCTTAGTGGGGGACGGGGGACGGGTGGTGAGGGGCTGGCTCTGGCTCCTTGACGGGCACAGCGCCAACTTGTGCACCGCACAGTCACGCGTCAGGAAAAGAGCCGAAGATGAGGCCGACTGTCGTTGGCTCCATCATGCGAGATGCGCCCTAGATGTTCTCGTCGTTTTTATTTCATCAAGAACAATTATCTGGATAGTTTGCATCCTCGCTTTCCCCAGCGAAATGTACACGGGGTTCTTTGTTCCTCGGTAGTAACCTCTTCTTCCATTGAAGCTCTGTCGTCCCGACAGGTCTGTTCCTTTCTCCTGAAGAAGGCCACTTGTGTTGTGGCCGAAACGTCGTGAGAATTTTATTGTGTTATTTTATTAATTTATTAATTTATTCTCATTCTACGTGACTTTACCGAAAGAACCAAAGAAGAGGTCAGAAGTTTGTTTCCCCGAGTAGAGGTAATTGAAGCCCTCTGCCAAGGGGTTCAAAAATATGCCCTTTTGGTGGCCAGTTGGCTTCCTAAAGAGAGAGAGATACACACAGCTAAGTGGGCTTTAAGCCTCGAGCTCGTCTTGAGTAAATGTTACGAAGAGCTTCTCTGCGGTTCTCTCCACTGAAGAGCGACTTTACCCCCCCCCCCCCCCCCCCCCCAGTGCGTCGTCGCGGCCGCGGCGATGTCTGACGACTGTTCTCCCTCCCTCAAGGTGCACACGTTCCGGGGCCCCCACTGGTGTGAATACTGCGCAAACTTCATGTGGGGCCTCATCGCGCAGGGAGTCAAATGTGCAGGTGCGTCGTCGTCGTCGTCCCGCCCTATCCCGTCAGTGCCGCGGGCAGCGCACGTTTCTGTCGTAGTTGCGCGTGGAGGTCAACGGCTGGGCATGGCGTCTGCAGGGGGCCGTGTGGCTGCTGTTCTGGTACCGCTCCCTTGCTTGTCCTTCCGGAGTGGAACGTGTGTTTTGTCGGTGTGGAGGGACAGTCGCGTGTGTGTGTGTGTCTGTTGGGGAGCGAGCGGTAGTTTGGTAGCGAGTTAGCGCTGCGCTGCGCTACGAACCCGGCGACCCGAGTTCGATTCCCGCTCACGGCCAACATCGGTGACGAATATTTGAACTCGCCCTGGGCCTCAAATGATTACCTAGTGCGACAAAGGCGGCCGGGCTTGGTGCTGGACACCGACCCCCTTGTGTGCCGTGCCGACCTTCATAGGTGCTCGCTAACAGCACTTACCCCAACGGTCTGTTACAGGCTATACAGGAGGAGAGAGAGGGGGCCTTTGTCTCTATCTTTGCTGCGATTCAGTGTCATGAGCACAATCGTGGGCCACTCCCTGCTCTCCTCGCCCATGCTTCTCAATTAATCCGTAATTGTTTATTTTTACGGAATAATTTCTACTGAATGAAAGTTGCACGGAATGAGTCGGTAGATTTGGTTGAGTGTTAATGTCTTTGGGCTGCCTCGCTGACCGAGTTTTGTTGTTTTCCGGCGGGCCTTGCGCGGCACAGCGTCTGTGGCCTAGTTTTGGAAACGAGGTCACGGTCTGCGTGGCGGGCGGGTGGGCTGGCATAGCTCGAGGTGTGCTGCATTATGTAAGTGGAGGTGTGCTGCATTATGTAAGTGGAGGTGTGCTGCATTGTGTAAGTGGAGGTGTGCTGTATTGTGTAAGTGGAGGTGTGTTGCATTGTGTAAGTGGAGGTGTGTTGCATTGTGTAAGTGGAGGTGTGCTGCATTGTGTAAGTGGAGGTGTGCTGCATCATGTAAGTGGAGGTGTGCTGCATTATGTAAGTGGAGGTGTGCTGCATTGTGTAAGTGGAGGTGTGCTGCATTATGTAAGTGGAGGTGTGCTGCATTGTGTAAGTGGAGGTGTGCTGCATTGTGTAAGTGGAGGTGTGCTGCATTATGTAAGTGGAGGTGTGCTGCATTGTGTAAGTGGAGGTGTGCTGCATTGTGTAAGTGGAGGTGTGCTGCATTATGTAAGTGGAGGTGTGCTGCATTATGTAAGTGGAGGTGTGCTGCATTATGTAAGTGGAGGTGTGCTGCATTATGTAAGTGGAGGTGTGCTGCATTATGTAAGTGGAGGTGTGCTGCATTGTGTAAGTGGAGGTGTGCTGCATTGTGTAAGTGGAGGTGTGCTGCATTATGTAAGTGGAGGTGTGCTGCATTATGTAAGTGGAGGTGTGCTGCATTATGTAAGTGAAGGTGTGCTGCATTGTGTAAGTGGAGGTGTGCTGCATTGTGTAGGTGGAGGTGTGCTGCATTATGTAAGTGGAGGTGTGCTGCATTATGTAAGTGGAGGTGTGCTGCATTATGTAAGTGAAGGTGTGCTGCATTGTGTAAGTGGAGGTGTGCTGCATTGTGTAGGTGGAGGTGTGCTGCATTATGTAAGTGGAGCGCCTCCTGGGACCGCGCGGCTGCAACGGCGGTGCCGGTTGCGCTATTTGAACGTCATCCCTAGATTGAACGCTCATTTGATTTGGAGCAATCTTTGGAAGAACATAATCAACCAGGTGTGGTGTTGACTGTTATGTTAGCCGATTATCCGTATTTTATTACATTATATTTCTAAGTTTACTAGATTTGTTTTCGCTTTCATCTGTACCTGATGATGATTGCTTGTGTTGCAATCGAAACGTCTTATGCTATTATTTTTTTATTTATCCTTTCTACGTGACTTTACCGAGTGAACCAAAGAGTGAACACTCATTTGTTTAGAACTGCCGTTTAGTGTTTAGTTTGTTGTTCCCCCCCCCCCCACCATCACCTCCGATGAGCGAGGTTGGCTACGTACAGCGCGGAAGAAGTTCAACGTGCACACGTACATACGTACGTGCATCGCTCCGCAAGCCACGTAGCTTTGCGGAATCGGCCGCTATCCTCTTATCTCGCGGTTTGTGAGCAGATGAAAGAATCGGAGCTTCCGAGAGAGAGAGAGAAAAAAACTAAATCATAATAATTTCATTGCGATGTCTGAAACGACCCCCCCCTCCCGTTTACTCTGTGAGAGCTCAGCTCATTATCAGAGATGGTTGCGGTAAAAGATAAAAAATGTCACCACGCAAGCCCCAGGTGGTCTGCTCTGCCGAGACGGCTCAGCCGTACAACAGTGCACGCATCTCGTGGGTGACTGCCTGGCCACTCTTAGCAGTGGAGCCATGATAGTTGTTGCAAAGCGACAGAAGGCGACGGACCGTCTGGACCCCGCTCCTGGCGGTCGACAGGCACCGGGTGAAAAGGCTGAGAAAGGCCTCGGCAATCGGGAGAGAGTGTTTATCATGGGACCTCCTTTGCCGGTACCAAAATATGAGAATAGGTTGTCCCCCTTTTTCTGGCAACAAAACAGTTTGTGTTAAGATGTTATGACACCAAACTGAAACCTTTTACAAGGAATAATGTCTGCATTAACCACAATATACTTATTCTTGGTTCTTTCGGTAAAGTCACGTAGAAGGGAAACAATAAAATAATAAAAATATAAAAACAATATAATTCTCACGACGTTTCGACTGCAACACAAGCAATCATCAGGTGTGAAAACCACAGCAAGAAAATTTGAAAACAAACCACCGTCACTTTTTTCAAATTTTCTTGCTGTGGTTTTCACACCTGATGATGATTGCTTGTGTTGCAGTCGAAACGTCGTGAGAATTTTATTGTTTTATATTTTTATTATTTGATTGTTTCCCTTCTACGTGACTTTACGGAAAGAACCAAAAATATGAATCCCTGCAGTCACGAAAGCTTTAAATCACAAAATACTTGTGGTCAGAATGCAAACAAAAAACATACTTTGATAATGTATGCATTGTCTTTGAAACTGATTGGCCCACACCAGAGACAGCTTTCTTTTGAGCCTCATCTCAAAACGGTGTTAGACCAATCAGTTTCAAAGACAATACATATATTGTCAGAGTATTTTTTTGTTTGCATTCTGACCACAAGCATTGTGGTTAATGCAGACATGATTCCTTGTAAAAGGTTTCAGTTTGGTGTTTTAACATCTTAACACCTGTTCTGTTGCCAGAAAAAAGGGGAAAACCTCTACTCGAGATAGTATTTAGTTTAAGAGAGGATGGAAATCAAAGGGATAGCAACTTGTATCTGGCTTTCTTCCATTAGTTTGAAGATTAATCGTACAAAAAAATTAACGACCTTCAAGTTATATTATCGAACCTGAGTGATGTCCCATATTTTTTTATACGATGGCGTAGCGACATAATTGGAGCGTTATGATGGAGCGCTTTATGGTAACTTTAAAGTCTTTATATTTATGAACTTCCGAGCGCATGTCAGACGGCCTGAAACACACAGCCTGAGGGTGTGTCTACTGGATAAGAGCAATTTGAGTTTGGATTGCATCTGCCTTCGATGCTCTGTATCCCTTTCATGTGGATGATGGTATCTCGATGGTGAAGCAATGTGCGTTACGTACTGCTGCCACTGCCGTTTGTTCACGTACGTCATCGGAATGAGAAAGGGTTCAGTTTTTATTCAGATTCCGGAAGCGGAAGAGAAAATGAAATAACTTTATCAGTACCGAGGCTCCCACAAGGCCACACGGGAGGGCGTGTGGCACAGTTTGGCGTCAGTTCTCCTCGGGTGCGGTCGTGTCGCTACAGTTCTCTGCGGTGAGTAATGACATCTTGAAATACGTCGCCGCTGCGCCTCTCTAAGTAAAATGAACGCCGAGCCTGCTCGCACGTTCCGAGATTCGGCGGTGACCGGGGCACCCACCCCACCTTACGGCTTGCACAGACGTCTCGGGACAGGGAATATTTAGCTCCCTGTGAAATGTCGACTCCAGGCCGCAGTCCGAACCGTGGCATCTGCTGGCTGCCCCTTTTCGTTCTCGTCAGCGGAAGGCGTGGTGACCGTAAGAAGCGGGCCGCTGAAACGCTTGGCCACGTTTGCGCAGGCACTCCCATTTTTTTTTTATGCGGCTGCCAAAAGGGGCCAGAACATCCTCCCCGGGGCTTGAGAGAATTTGCACGTTCTCCAGGCATAAAAAAAATAAATGGCGCTCATTAGTTCAGGTGGTGCTGCCGGGCGCAGGCTTTACACGGGAAATATGCAACCGGTAAAGATGTAACGTTGGGCCAACGTTGGGCCAACTGTTACGACCGAGTGCCAACTTTTGCCCATGTTTACTGGGCCCCCGATCCCAGGCCTTGTCGTTAAATGACGCGCACATACAGACAAAACTCTATGGTTCGTGCGTGCGTGTACCAAGGCGGCCTTGTGTGGTGCTGGCCACCCCCGCCCCTCGTGTCCCGTGCTGGCCTTCATAGGTGCTCGCTAGCAGCACTTGCCCCCGACTGTCTGTGGAGGCTCCACGGGGCGATCTTTGTCTTTGTGCGTGTGTGCAGACTGCGGCTTGAACGTGCACAAGCAGTGCTCCAAGGTGGTTCCCCACGACTGCGAGCCGGACCTGAAGCACGTGAAGAAGGTGTACAGCTGTGACCTCACGACGCTCGTCAAGGCTCACAACCGCAAGCGGCCCATGGTGGTGGACATGTGCATCAAGGAGATTGAGATGCGCGGTGAGCAGCCCTCTCAGGAGGGAGCACTCCACGCACGCCATCCATGCGGTCCACTTGTGTGAGGTTACGTTGAACTTCTTTCGCACACCGTACGTTGCCAGCTGTGCTAATCGGAGCTGTGTTGGGGTGGGGGGGGGGCGGGGTCGCGTAAGGACAACAGACTAAACACAAAAAGCAGTTTTAAAGAAATTAGTTTTCAATCTAGATGAAGTGCAAAGCTCCAGTGGCTTCCTAATATTGGAAGTGTGTTTCACAGATGGCCGTAGCAGCGCATCTGGAAACGCGCGATGCAGTCGCCATCTTTGTTCGATGGATAGCCAAAAGCCTGTATATACGTGCGCTCCGTATATACACAACACACACGCGCGCTGCGTGTATACACAACACGCACGCGCGCTGCGTGTATACACAACACGCACGCGCGCTGCGTGTATACACGACACGCACACGCGCTGCGTGTATACACGACACGCACGCGCGCTGCGTGTATACACGACACGCACGCGCGCTCCGTGTATACGCGACGCGCACGTGCGCTCAAAATCACAGCGTGTGCGTAGCATGCGCTGTGATTCTCCATACACAGACGCACCACCCGCACACAACACACACCATATATACACAATACACCACACACACACACCGCACACACAGCACACACACAGCACACACACCGCACACAGCACACACACAGCACACACCACACACCACAGACACAGCACACACACACCACACACACAGCACACACCACACACACACCATACACACACTACACACACACACCAAACACACCACACACACAAGGGCCTCGCTGCCTCTCTCTGCTGTGCGGTCGTTATTTATCCATGACAAAGGTTTTTTTTTATTAGATTGTGTAAATATGAATGTGTCGTTAAACCCACCACCACCCGACACAGCCAATTAGTAAGGTTTGTCACGTAAAAAAAAAAACATGCCAATCAGTTACTACTTCAGCACACCGGTGTGTTGTAGAGCAAACCCACAACGTTATGGTTAAAATTTAGTCGCAATAGCCGACGCGTCAAACCGCTACTTACCCATCGGTTTCTCTCGGGGGGGGGGGGGTTTATTTTTCCCCTTTTCGTAAACTCTTGAGTGTTCAAGCCAGCGACGTAGAAACCTCTCCGTTGATTCGGTTTTTTTTTACGAGCAGCAGGGGCGCTCCTGAACTGCAGGTCAGCAGTGGGAGGCCACGCCGGCACAGGCAGAGGAGAGACCTCTGCACAAGTTGAGATGCGAGAGTCGACATGTTTTTATTTTTTTGGAAGTGGAGCGCATGGGCCCATGTGCCTATTTTCAGTGAAACATGCAGTCGTTCCACAAACAAAGCTTGATAATAACTCGGGTTGATGTGAGGCTGACGGGCACCGCGAACCTGCCACCACAGCCAGACCCGAACGAAAGATGAGCGACGTACCGCCCCTTGTCAATTCCCCGCTGGATGAAGGCCTCCCCACACGGCTTTCGGGCATGAAATTGGATCATACTTCGTCGTTTTTGGTCAGTGAAGGTTAATGAAATCGGGGGGGTGGTTGGCCCAGACCAATCGAGATATCGTTCACCACCGATGTTAGGTCGCATTCACTCGGGTCGCCGGAGGTTAGTGGCGCAGTGCCGCTGCGAGTGCCACTGAGGCTCATTTGCGTTACATTGTCCTCCGGGCCTCCCCGTGGAGCCTGGGAAGCCAGTGTGTGTACGCGTGCGAGCGTGCCGTCTGCGTTTATTTCTTGTTTACGATCACAACAGCCTCCCTCCAGACATTGTGGCCTCATCGCTGCCTTCCCGTCCTCCCCTGTGTCTTCCCCCACATCCCGCCACCCCCCCCCCCCCAAATTCCACCACCTGCATCCCTCGGTTGAGCTTAGGGCTGCGCTCCGAGGGCCTCTACAGGGTGTCTGGCTTCAGCGAGCACATCGAGGACGTCAAGATGGCGTTTGACAGAGGTAGGCGAGCATGGGCCGGCGCGGGTCGGAGGCTCCCATTTGGGGAGGGGGGGGCGCCCTCGCCCCGCTAAACTAAACTTTTATTTATTTATTTCACCAGGTAAGGCCCACTGCGCTGTGTAGCTCTTTTTTCAGAAGCGACCTCGCCACCACAAATGATAGACCCCAACGAAGTGGCCTCGGAATGCGGAAACTTACAGCAGCCAAATAATTTATCGCGGCCAAATAATCCGCACCTGCGAGTTGTACGATGCCAGTGAAGTTCAACGTACATGCACGTAATCTCAACGCGTGTTTCTATAAAATGGGAGGGGAAGAAAAAAAGGAGGACCCGGAGAAAAATCCACGTGACCACGAGGAGTGAGAGAGACGCGCAAACTTCAAATATACAGCAGGCATCAGGGTCGGAACTGAAACCCACGACCCTCCCGCGTGCCGGGCGAGGGAGACGCTGTCTCCTAGCCACCGCGGCGACCCAGTTCCTTCATCGCTCTCGAACGAGCGGTGCCACAGTCGGCACGACTGTGAATCTCTCAAACCCACGCCTCCAATTACACGCAGCACAGATGTTTCATCCCCAAGTGGCAAATTAAAGAGGTCCTAATGACTCGGTCGTTGTGGGCGATTAGCATAATTGAAGCGGCTGCTCATAACCAGATGAATACCTGGAAGGAATAACATCTCTACGCTTCCGCGGGCGTCCAAGGAATGCTAAATTTGCTGATGGTCTTTAGCGGAATGTTGTTGAATGTCAAAGCAAATTTGAATATTTCGAAACAAAGTCATTTATTATTGACTGCAATTTGGACCCCCTCTGAGCTTAGGCAGATGAGCTGTGCAATGCAACTTGTGTGAGATACGAATCCATCCAAGAAAATTTGATTAATCATCCCATGCCCCCGCCACCCCCCCCCCCCCCGATTTCCATCACGATATTTAACTGACTGCACCTTCGGGGGAAGTGTGTTGTCTGGTGAGAATAAAGGGGCATTCAATTCCATTGTACCGAACAAATGGGTTGTTGTGGTCGGGCTCATGGACTGGTATTTTGTCGCTGCCTTCATTTTAGTGACGCATCCTGCCCTCTGCTGGTGGCAGAGGGCAGGATGTCCATGACACAGGTGTTTTTTTTGGGAGGTTTGATCGCGTAAATATATAAATGTGTCATTAAACCCGCCACCACCCGACACAGCCAATTAGTAAGGTTTGTCACGTAAACGGAACATGCCAATTCGTTACTAGTACAGCACACCAGTGTGTTGGAGAGCCAAGCCACTACATTTACAATCCGAGTACGACATTTCGCCAGGAATTACAACTAGCTTCATCAGGCGACAGCCACGTAGGCTTTTGCGAAATCCTACTTGGTAGAATCTCAATACCAGGCAAAAGAGTCCGTCTCCGATGGCTTAGGTTCTGTCGTTCTCAGAGGGCCACAGTTAGACGTGGGAAAATAAAGCGGTGAAAGTTACAGAGTTGTTTCCCCCTGAAACGACGGGGCTCTGCCTCTGGCACCACGATGCATTTACTTTTTTGGCAGAAAATAATATTTAGGATATCTACAGTTTTCCCTTGTGTTTGACATATTTGCGAACGAAACTCAAGCCAGTCCATACTTTCCTGTGAGTCTCGATGCAACTCAGTTGGGATTCCTAGAGCTCGCCAATGCTACTGCAGCTCAACACACACGTTCCGCCGCACGCAACGGTGGAAGGTGTGCATCTCCGGGGAAAAGAGGAGGCGTGTATGCACTAATAGCGGTCGTGTGGCGGTTAGCGCGCCGTGCTAGGAACCCGGCAACCAGAGTTCGTTTCCCGCTCACAGCCAACATCAGTGACGATTATCTGAACTGGTCCTGGGCCTTGACTCAGCCTCAAATGAGTACCTGGTGCGTTGGTGTGTAAACATCGCCACTGGGGAGACAAAGGCGGCCGGGCGTGGTGTTGGCCATGCACACGCTCGTCCGCCGTGCCGGCCTTCATAGTTGCTCTCAACTAACACTTGCCCCAACAGCCTGTTAAGGCTACGCGGGGGATCTTTGTGTATGGAAAGGTCATGTTTGCGCTTGGCTGTGCACCTCGCTGTCCGCACAGATGGCGAGAAGGCCGACATCTCGGCCAATTCGTACGACGACATCAACATCATCACCGGGGCCCTCAAGCTCTACTTCCGAGACCTGCCAATCCCACTCATCACCTACGACGCCTACCCCAAGTTTATCGAAGCTTCAAGTGAGAGAGCTGTCACTTCTGTATTCTACTAGCTTCTTCTTCTGACCTCTTGCTCCATTTATTCCCGTCCTAGGCCATCTCTCCTTCCAATCCGTTGCCCTTCGCATCGCTATTCGCCACTTGTGGGACCACCGGCCCTTCACATCACTGGCACATCAAACATGACCTGCCCGGGTGCATTTTTGGGTTTTACATTCATCCCTTCGCCTTGAAAATGGAAACGTTCTTGTTCCTCCAGCAGAACAGATTATTTAAAAAACATCAGTTGGGGCCAACTTTCTCCAAAACACTCCAAGTTGTCTCACACCTTGGAATATATTTGCGACCTGCCCCCTTACTGGACATCTGTAAAAAAAAAAAAAGAGTTTCAGAGCTCATCGGATTCCTCGAGTCTAAAATAAAGATTCTGATTCTGATGTATGAATTATTCCCTTTCAATAACAATCCGTGTCCGTCAGCACGACGTACCACCACGGTGTACGAATGGCATTCATTTCATTGGTTATTATTATTATCCAAGATAAGGCACTGTTTGTTTCGCCTCTGTGGCATGGCCGTGGGATATTTTCACCGCCGGCTCACCGACTCGGCAGCTGAGCCTTTACCCCGGGCCCACGTGAGAGCGGGGGTGGCCACCCGGACGACGGTGGCCGCTTGTACACACGCTTAGAAGCGGCCGTGGGTGAGTTGGTGGCGTGCGACGGTCTCTGAGAGATGGATGGCCCCTGTGCTGCAGAGCTGATGGACGCAGACGAGCGGCTGGAGGGGATCCACGAGGCGCTGCGACTGCTGCCACCCGCTCACTACGAGAGTCTGCGCTACCTCATGGCACACCTCAAGCGGTTAGGCTCGCGCCGTGACACTTGCCGTGGCACTTGCTGCAAAGTTCAACGTGCATACGTACACGCATACATTCGAGCGGGTTAGTCTCGCACTGTGACACCTCGAGCGGCTGTGCGACGCCATCGCACTCTCCGTGCAGGTTTGACTGGCCGTGACGCTTCGACCCGCCGTTGCCCCTCTACAGCAGCACTTCGTCGGTGGACAGACGCCGCGTTGCTGCGTGCGAATGTCAGTTTGTACGCGTGCAACTCGGTGTTCTTAACGGTTTCCAGCTGAGGTCGAAGGCGTTCATGCATTATCTCTGGCCGCTTGCCTGGAGTACAAAAGTTGCGTCGCCATGATGGAAGCGCCCAATTTAAAACGCGGCCAAATTGATTAAGAGCGTTCCCCGACGCCTGGAGACACAAACCAGAGCAAGAGGGAGGGGACCATTAGCAAATACGCCGATGCACGTTTTGCCCTGATAGCTCCCCCCCCCCCGCCGGCTTCCGCACCGCTCATCGAATGCGAACGCGCGTTGGAAAGCGTCACACGGCACACGAGTGGCGCGTTATTGCCGTGCAGCGGCATTCTTACCCGAGATTGCGTTCGCGCTGGCTCGGCAAGGACGATGGGCGGCAATCTCGCAAAGGCACGCAGCCCCGCACACGCGCACACGCGCGCACGGCAGGATGCGAGCTGGGGACTGACGGTTGCCACCGCGTGTTTGTGCTCTTCGTTGGGGCGTGGCTTACCGCAGGGTGACACTTTACTCCAAGGAAAACCTGATGAGCGCCGAGAACCTGGCCATCGTCTTTGGACCCACGCTCATGCGGCCTCCGGAGCAGGACGTCCTCGCCACCCTCAACGACATCCGCTACCAGCGCCTCGTCATCGAGACGCTCATCAACAACGAGGAGATCCTCTTCTGAGACGCCCTTGCCCCACCTCGCGGTGGTGGCGGGGGGTGGAAGGGGTGGGGGGCGATGGCCGCCGCCTTCCTCCCATAGCAGCGCGGGTGCTTCAATTGTCTGGGGGCGGGGGAGGGCCCCCACTTCAAAAACACCGTCAGCCACTCGCTCCCTCTGCTCACCTGGCCACCCGACTCGGCGCACAGTGGAAATCTTGCCGACGTTCGGAGTGCGGCACACGGGCCCCGCCTCTCGGGAGAGGAGGCTCACTCCCGGACCATCGTTCCTCGCGCCCACCAACCGGCCACTTTGTCATTGCCGCCACTTTGGGCTCTGGGATCCAGCTGGGCTGGAGGAAGGAGGCAGAGGAGGCCACGGGGCTCCTCCAGCCGTGACTGCTCATTGTCACGCGGCATTGCGACGATGCGCAGGAGATAGTTATCTGGGCGGTGTCTCTTTAGGTTTCTCCCTGATTAATATTTTGTTGATATTTTGAGTAGAAAAAAGGGAACTGTTATACTTTGGATCCTGTAGCTTGTACGGTCGCAAGAGCAAATTTCTCGATAAATGTAACTTCACGCCACACTGTACAGCATTGGTTATAATGCCAGCTGTAATGTGAATCTAATTTTATGCACATGTGGGGAATTCAATGGTTTACAGTGCTGGGTATTTATTTTTGTGCCACCCTTTAATGAGATGGGTAATTCTTGAAAGCTCGAGAGCGAGTGATGTGCTTTCCCAGTGCGTCAGCATTGCCTTCAGAGCCTCAGCTAATGTTTTCGGGGCCAAACGTCAGCCAAGCGACTAAACGGCTTTTCTGAAATTTGTCTCTTAATTTGTTTCTGACGAAATGATTTTGTTCACACTATAGCTTTCGTTATTGTTTACATGCCCGCTCCACGCATAATTTATTTGAGCTGTGTATGCGTCACAATGCTGTTGCATTGATTTTTGGGGGGGGGGTGGTAATGGGGTGGGAATGGTGGGGGGGAATCCACATTGGATTCCTGTGTGAAATTCCGGGATGAAGTCGTTGGCACGGCACCTCGGCATGAGGGGGGGGGGGGGTTGGGGAGGCGGTTGTTGACACCCCGACTGAATTATATTCCGATAGCTATAGCTTTCTGTTGTAACGTGTGCGACCTGTGACCCAGTTTCACTTTTTATTTTATTTCCAACCAAGGAATTGAAAAAAATATTTGGGTTGCCGTGCCCGTGTTCATTTACGAGAAGAAAAAACAAAAAACAAAACAAAAAACTCTCGCTTCATCTCGGGAAGTCCGCGAGCGTTAAATCCCATCGGAGTAAACGCGTTGCGAGGCCCGTCACACGTTTCACCGGCGGGGACGTCCGCTGGGCACGCCTCCCCCCCACTCTCCACGCCGCGAGTTCCGACGCTCTTTGTCACCTCGAGACAAAGTGTGCAGTGCACAGCTGTGATGTCAACTCACCAAAATAGCCACGTGGTGGCCGGGGAAACCAGCCACGTGGTGGCCGGTGAAACTGCCCGAGGCACTTTTTACTTCCGCCCCCCTCCCCGCCCTTCCCTCGCTTTCCGCAGCTGTTAATCTTCCGCGACTGCACTGTGCTATATTTTACACAAGTGTGGCTGTTGTGAAAAACGCCAAAGCAGGCCTTGAATACGCGCAGCCCCCGACGCTGGATATATACATGTGTACGTGGCTCTCGAGCAGGTGCTTTAACCTTCGCGTGTTTACCCGAGGGTGCAGCCGGGGGCAACGCTTGGCTGCTTCCTGTTTTGAGCATTTCCTTTTCACGTGGAATGAAAGCGGAGTACGCGGAGAAAACCCACAACGCACAGGTTTGACACTCCACGCAGATAGGTTCAGCTACCCGTCTGCTACACAGCTTCTGACCAGGGAACCCCTTTGCCCCTTCAGGTCGGAGTCGCACGCACACATAACCATCTCGGCGCAATCCGTCAGACCTGCCTGGTGTAGGCCACCCCGCCCAAGAAACAGGCCGCCACGGTGCCGTTGCTCTCCAAGGCCCCAGGTGGGATGTGCATGTTCCTGCGGCATGGAATGGACCAGACCCAGCAGGGGTAGCTATCTGAACTGAAAAGTAAAAAACTCAACTATTTATTTGTATTTACCAGGTAATGCCCACTGAGCTTGAAAAGCTCTTTTTTTCAGAAGCGACCTGGCTGTCACAATTTATAGCTCGCCGAAGTGGCTTATCACCATGTGGAAATTAACAGCGGCCAAATATTCGAAACGCGCGTTGATTCTAAATGTGGGGAGAAAAACCAGAGGGGCTGGAGAAAAATCCACGCGGCCGAGGAGAAACTCCAAATATACGGTGACACGCGTTCTGCCCGAGTCCACTTTGCTTTTCTCCACTGCCGATGATGTCGATCGTTCCGAGTCAATGTGAGGAGGAGTCGTCGTCCTCCTCGTCACGCGTTGTGCGATCACACGACCGCGAACCGCTCTCGCGTGACCGATAAAAACAACAATATATAAAACGAAACTAATTTTTTTACCATGTAAAGCGCACTGAGATACGTAGCTTTCATTCGCAAGCGACCTGGCGGTTACAAATGACAGCTCAAATGAAGTGGATTATTGTCAAGTGGAAATGTTTCGCAGCAGCAGCAGCAGCTACATCACACTCTCCATGCACGTCGATCCTGAATGTGGAGGGAAAAGCCGGAGGACCCGGAGACAAATCCACGCGACCACGGGGAGCCAAAGGAAACACGCAAAACTCCACACAGACAGCAGGCGTCAGGGTCGGGGTCGGGATCGAACCCACGACCTCCTGCATACAAGGCGAGGGTGTTAACATCTCACCACTGCGGCGCCACCGCGTATCGAGCATGCAGGCGGTGTGTAACCACACCACGAATCGCAGGCCAGGTACTACGAAGGGGAAATTGGACAGGGTGGGTGCCCCATTAATCCCTGACACCGGGGCCCATGCCAGTTACACGATGCCACTGGACCTGCCTTGTCTCCGTGTCACGTTGGGTGATGCTACACCAAGGCTCGGCCGAATAACATTTTCAATGCAGCTCACGAAGACGTTTTTCTTTGCACTTGCATCGTCATTAAAAAAATATTGCAGCTTTAAAGAGTAATTCCCACACGCAGCTGTATTTACAAAAAGATCCCCTCCCCGAGTATTTGAGTTCAAAGATTTGTGCGACTCGGTCATGTGTTTTGTTAAGGACGAAGGTATACTCTGTCAAATGTGAACCAAGGACATGCATGGCGATCAATGCAGTTTCACCGACTCGCCACTCGTTGCAAGACTCACATCTGTCACATGCCTCGGCAGTTTTTTTTGACGCGTTGACATTTCTGAGCCATTTTGGATGAGGCATGCGTCGGAACAAATCGCTTTGGCGTGCTCTCGATCAGCGCTTCCGTCGCTATCAAAAGCACCGCAGCGTGGTGGTGCCCCAGTGAGCGTTGTCGCGCTGTTGGGCAGCCGCCACTGCCTGCGTGCCTGCGTGCGCTTGTGGTGTGCAGTCTCGACAGAGGGTTCCCTTGCAGGGCTTTTAAGAGGCGGAGATGCGTGCCGTGTCCAAAGACGCGGCTGACTCCTTCGCAAGCAGAACGCCTTGCCCAAAACATCGCCCCGTTCGCACACGTGTCTTGTTTTTTGTTTGTTGTCTTGTCATTCATCACGGAGCGTCGTCTCGTAAACACAACGGGGTGGGGGGGGGCTTTTTGCTCACTCTCGGTGGCATCGTGTGATGGTAGCGTCGGTTAAAAAAAAAAGCTTCCACGCGCCCCCCCGAAAGCGGTCTTCAAAACTCGCGTCGTGGATTAAAATCGGCTCGTTGAGTCGCAGACATCAACCCACGAGCGGGGGGGGGGGGGGGTTGGTGGCGTGTGGCCACTGAACGTTTCTCACGCTCGTGACCGTCGTGTAACGTTCAAGGCTTCCAGGCTCTGTGCGTGCACGCCGGCTCGTTGGTGTGGCTACAGCAGTGAGGACTGCACGGTCCGTGCCGTACGCGTGTATGCGTTTTTAACTTCTTTTGCACCGTACGTAGCCAACCGTGCTACTCGGAGGTGTGGTGGGAGGACGCCAAACTAAACACAAAAATAAATTTTCAAGAAATTAGTTTTCGATCTAGATGATTTAAAAGTGCATAGCTTCAGTGGCTTCCTAATGCTGGAAGGGAGAGCTTTCTAGATGGCCGCAGAAGCGCGTCTGAAAGCGCGCGATGCAGTGGCCGTCTTTGTTCGAGTCCGTCTGCGTGTGCGTCCCGTCTTCACGAGCGTGCGGACCTCTGGCTCGTCGGCGTGTTGTTGGAGCCGTGACCAATCAACCCGGTGGGGGCGATTCATTTTGTGTCACTTCGGAAAAAACAAACTCAAGATGCGTGCCACCGTTGTGCAGAACTTGGCTGTACATTCACTGTATTGATGTGCTTTACGATGTAAGTTATTAAATGTGTTTCTCAACACGTTGAGTCATCTTTTTTTTGTATACATGCCAACAATTTTTTTTTAAAGAATTATATCTGGAGGTGGCTGGATGGTTCGGGTGTCAAGAGTGCTGAGCTGGCACCGTCGAAATCCTGGGTGCAAATCCAGGCAGCTTCATGTGATTTAGAGAAGCGTTTTCAGATAGAGTTAAGTTGATGGCATCTGCCTGGTTCACCAATGACTGCACACACACAAAAAAACCCTCACGCTAAATTTGGCCATGCATTTCATTTGGCTGAATATCTGACGCAGAGAATTAAAAGTATCTATTTGACTGCCATATAGTGTCACTCTTCCTCTGTGTGGCAGGGTGTGGGGGTAAACTGCTGTCCCAACTGCGTTGAAGGGATCTTAGAGGTGGTTCTGTGATATCTTCTTCAATGGGCTGTTCTCTAACACGGGGTGATGCACCTTCTCGGTGAGAGATCTGAATGGACACCGCCTCGTGACATGACATCAGCAGCACAGTCGGGATAAAATTCGGTTAGGCAAAATACATATCGTTTGGACATTCACCTTATTGTGGGAGGTCGCTAGTACTGATCCTATAGAGAGACTGTTCCAGGCCATGGGAAATCGGATTTGACGACACTAGTTCAGGTCCACCAATGGGGATGAGTGCTGCCCATTGCCCATTTGAGCAGGGATAACCTTTGACTCAACAACCCCCCCAGCCGGCGTGGGTATGAGCAGGTTCACGGAGAGGGGTTGTCCCTCTCCGACCGGCTGGTTTCGGATCAAATCTCACGGAGAGGGCCTTGCTCACTGTAAATATCCCAGTTGCATACGCACGTGCCATCATCACGGGGCTCAAGATCGGACGCCTGTCACTTGCTCGCTCGACAACTGACGCGCTTGGAGGGGAGGAGTGGACACGTGGGAGGGGCTGCCAGCTGTTCTGTCACTGGTCGCGTTCAGAAGATCGAGGCTCGGAGCGGTCGGGGCCGAGGGAGCTCTTCAGGATGGAGTTCTTAAAGTTCTCCGTCTTCTTCGCCGTGTGCTTCAGTGAGTTGAAGCTGCTGTCCGTGTGTGTCGTCGTGTGCCTCGCGATGCCATTTCATTGCCCCACCCCCTCCTCTCCCGCCGCTACCTCCTTGCGATTGAGTGAGAGGCAATGGCTGTAACGGAGTGCGGTCTCCGCTGTTTGACCGTGAACTCATCGCGAGTATCCGCGCTGTCACCGCTGGCTGCTTTGCCGGAGTCGGTGGGGGGGGAGGCTTCCAGCGGGATCGCAGCCAAGGGCGGGCAAAGCCAGTCGTGGTTTCGCTGTTACTCCGACCGTGTCGAGATTTGCGACGACTGAAGACCGATTGTTGCGTTCGCACAAAGAGTTCGCGCGCGCGCGCGAGTGATTGACAGCGGCAAGTGCCGGGGAAACGTCGCCCGTGGTTCTATTCTGGACGTTCGCAGCAGCCGGATGTCCCCTGGCTCAGCTTTCCTGGCACAAAAAAACAACACACACACACAAAAGAGACAGGCCGCTCGCAGTGGGCACTTTTCGCACGAGAGTTTACGAATTTTTGTTTCGCAAAAAAACTTTTTCGAGCGATTGTTTTGTTTCTCTCTCGCTACGAGTTCGTTCCGTTTTTGCTTATTTTGCCGCACTCCTTAGTGGGTTTTTTTTGTAGCGATTTGGAGAGGCTTCTTCCGTTTGGATACCGCATTGAAGGATCTCATGATGAGAAGTGATCACCCAACTCGCCCTTCATCGACGATCTGTTGCTTTCATCCGCGTCGCGGAGTCATCGCTCCGCCACGCGTCTGTACAGAAGACGGCCCACCGGGCTTGTCGCGCGTTCGAGAGGCGTTCGTTTCGTTCGGCCGTGCGCCTGTTTCGTTTCCGTCCGCACGAGTGGCCGCAGCTGAAGAGGCCTCTCCCTACGGTGTCTTTGGTATGGCCTCGTGTACCCACTAGCGCGGTCTTATAGGGAGATTCTCGATCAGATCTAAACAATGGGGGTGGGGGGGGGGGCGGGGGGCGAGGGCAATACGCAGCAATGTGGCACTGGGAAATCGCAAGTAATCTTAACTCGGGGTGTTCTTCATTGCAAGGCCCGCGGGTCACTGGCGGCTCTCGGTGGCCTTTAGTGCGGCCCCTGACAACACGCAGGCAGTGAAAACATCCACCATCATCAGCGTGCAGTCAAACCCAAGTGGTTTCAAATGTGTGGCGGCCCTCGCACCCCGATGTCTCATCGGCGAAGGTGGCCCCACTCTGCAAATGAGTGAGTCAAGCTCCTCGGCCTTCTTCAGACCCATAGATCCTGCCACGCGATGGCCCGATGTTCTCCAAGCACCGAGTGCTCATCTTCGGAAAGGAAAACAAAAAGTCCCCTCCTAGGCGTCGTGAGTTCACGGTGGAGGCGAGGTCGCCCTGCGTGAATGCGTGCGGCTGTGCCGAAGGGGGACCGGTGGCGCAGTGGGTTATCGCACTGCGTGTATGTGCGTACTATGTTGAACAGCTTTCGCATGTATGTGCGTACTATGTTGAACAGCTTTCACATGTATGTGCGTACTATGTTGAACAGCTTTCGCATGTATGTACGTACTATGTTGAACAGCTTTCGCACCGCACGTAGCCAACCGTGCTCATCAATAAACGCTGCGCGACGAAACCCGGCGACCCGAATTAAATTCCCGTTCATGGTCAATACCAGTGACAATTTTCTGAACCGGTCCTGGGCCTCCCCTACGTCGACTCAGACTCAAATGAGTACCCGGTGTGATGTGTAAGACATCACCACCGGGGAGACAAAGGCGGCCGGGCGTGGTGCTGGCCAACCACCGCCTCATGTGCCGTACCGGCCGTGATAGGTGCTCGCTAACAGCATTCGCCCCGACAGTCTGTTGGAGGTTTCACGCGTCGGGGATCATTGTCTTGTGCCGAAAGGAGCGGCAGCGTCGTCCACGGTGCCCGTCGCGGAACTCGGTGAAGTCGCCAACTGGGTGAACGAGACGCGGCTGCTGCAGGATCTCTTCCGTAACTACAACAAAGTCATTCGCCCCGTCAAGAACTACAAGGACCAGGTGCACGTCGTGGTGGGCATGCAGCTCATCCAGCTCATCAACGTGGTGGGTTTCACGGAGTCCGTGTGTATGCATCGGGGAGCGGTGGTGCAGCGGTTAGCGCTACACTGCGCTACGAACCCGGCGTGCCCGGGTTCGATTCCCGCTCGCGTCCACCACCGGTGTTCGAGTATCTGAACAGGTCCTGGACCTCGCCTCAAAATGAGTATCTGGTGCGGTGTGTAAACATCGCCACCGGGGAGCCAAAGACGGCCGGGCGTGGTGCTGGCCACCCAGAACCCCGTGGTGCTCGCTAACAGCACTTTCCGCAACAGTCTGTTGCACTTCTTTTGCACCGTACCTAGCCAACCGTGCTAATCGGAGGTGAGGGGGGGGTGGAGAACAACAGCCTAAACACTAAAAGCAGTTCTAAAGAAACGAGTTTTAAATCTAGATTTCAAAGTGCATAGCTTTAGTGACTTCCTAATATGGTAAGGAAGGGCTTTGCAGACGGCCGCAGAAGCGTGTCTGAAAGCGCGTGATGCGGTGGCCGTCTTTGTTCGACGGTTTAGCCAAACCTTCGATGGTTAGCCGTGGGCGTTGCTGAATCACGCACTGGTGCTGTCGTGTATTTGGTTGCTGTTTATTGAGAGATTTTGTTGTTGTTGTTGTGCTTCGCAGGATGAGGTGAACCAGATTGTGGAGACCAACCTCAGGCTCAAGCAGGTAACCGGCTCGTGAAGTATTTGGAGTTGGCCAACCACTCCCAAATATAGGACCACAGAGCTTGGGCAGTGGTTGTCGGTAGTGCCGGTACTGGATGCCGTCCTGCTTGTCTACGATTTTCCGAGCATCAGCGCGAAATACTGCGCGCGTTTCAAAATTTTACACCGTTTTGAAATGCAAATTAAGAGTAATCGTTGTACGTCCGCCCCCCTCCCCCCCCCCCCAAATTGCGATTAGCACAGTTCTCTATGTACGATTGTGAAAGAAGTTCAACATACATATGATAACATTATTATTCTACATAATGAAGGTTTTTGGGTTAGATCGCGCGAGTATTAATTTGTCGTAACCCTCCACAAGCCGACACATTCTAACTTGCTCCCCTTGATTCTACCATTGCAACTCTGTGTACATGTCAAAGGTAGTCGGGTTTTTTTTGGTTACAGAGCTGGCAAAAGTTACCCTTTGTGTGAAGTCACTCACGTGTCTTTCACATACAGGTTTCCCTCGATCTATGCGGGTTCAGTTTGTGCGATTTCGCGAATATGCGGATAACTTATTTCTACAAAAAAAAAATCGATGTTATGCGGTTTGAATTCAGTAAGACTCGGCTATGCGCTCGGACGTGGGACAACACTGGAACTCGCTGACCCACCCCTACATGACATCTGTGAAAAATAGCTTCATAGCTCATCCAATTCTCCCAGGATGATTCTCATTCTGACATTTGTGCGCACTGTGTGCGCCACTCGGCAGGCAGCTTTATCGTGCGGTGCATTGTGGGTTGGGTATGTACGTATGTTGAACGTCTTTCGCACCGTCCTTAGCCAACCGCGCTGATCGGAGGTGCGGGGGAAGGACGACAAACTGAACACAACAAGCAGTTGTAAATAAATGAGCTTTCAATCTAGATTGGGTGACTGTACGTGCCGTCCACGCTACGCGAATTTTCCTTTTTGCGCGCCCCTTTGTATATATATTTTTTGGAACGCATCTACCGCACAAAGCGTGCCGGGCCAAAGATGTTCGGGCGTCATCGCACCGCCGCTGTTCTCTGCTCGGCGTGTCGCAGCAATGGACGGATTACAACCTGCAGTGGAAACCGGAGGACTACGGCGGCATCAAGCAGGTCCGCGTGCCTTCGCTGGACATCTGGCTCCCAGACCTGGTGCTGTACAATAAGTGAGGGCTGATGCGCACGCGCGCACACACACGCCGCGCCGTTGACGCACCGCCCGAGCCCTTCACAGTCACGTCACACGTGGTGGTGGTGGCGGTGGCGCACGCCGTGCGGTGCGCGAGGGGTTTTGGTGGGTCGCACAAAATGCTGCGAAACTCTCTCCCCGACCCCCCCCTCCTCCCCATGTAGGCGTCGCGGTCACCACACCCTGGCTTGCCAGGAGAAGGTGGTACAGCATTCCCCTCGTTATTCGCGAGGGAAACGTTCTGGAAATGTTCATGAATAGAACATTTCTGGGACAATGAGATCATGATATTGGCCAACGAAAACCAATCCTTTTGATGAATCACCTTAACTAAATATGTAAATAAGCTATTTAAATGCATGCAAATTATATCAAATATTATCTCGGATCACATTCTCTCTCATCGCTTTATCTCATCACTTTCTTTCTCTCTCTCTCTCTTTCCGGGCACTCCAGTTTGCTACCATTATCATTAATTGCACGAGAACATCATAATATATAGAGAACCTCAGAGCTTGGGCAATCGTTGGGGCCGGCTCGCCACCTGACTACCTTTCCCACCCCCCTTTCTGATCGCGGTATAATACTCAACATTATAATATACTCAACATTTTTCCGAACATAGATGGACTCGTCCATCTGAACAAACTGTCAAATCTCTCTCCGTGTTCTAACGTTAAAAATAACCGCCACTTTTTTCAAATTTTCTTTGATGTGGTTTTCACACCTGATGATGATTGCTTGTGTTGCAGTCGAAACGTCGTGAGAATTGTATTGTTTTATATTTTTATTATTTTATTGTTTCCCTTCTACGTGACTTTACCGAAAGAACCAAGAATATGAATCCCTGCAGTCACGAAAGCTTTAAATCTAAATTTATACCCAACATTATTATAATATACTCAACATTATTATAATATACTCAACATTATTATAATATTCTCAACATTATTATGATACTCAACATTATTATAATATACTCAACATTATTATCATATACTCAACATTATTATAATACACTCAACATTATTATAATATACTCAACATTATTATAATATACTCAACATTATTTTAATATACTCAACATTATTATAATATACTCAACATTATTATCATATACTCAACATTATTATTATAATATACTCAACATTATTATAATATACTCAACATTATTATAATATACTCAACATGACTCAAGGTGACAGGGCAGTGTCGTGCAGAGCCACGAAGGGCAGTGCACAAACGAAGGCGAGCACACCTGGGTGCAGTACCACGTGCATAGTCATTAAACATAAGTTACAGCCCTCTGTCAATCCACTGCTGGATGAAGACCACCGCACGCCGTGTCGCTCATCCGGGTGGTTTGAACATACTTTGCCACTCTGGTCAGTGGGCGTCGGTGAAACAGGGGGGGCTGAGGACCGCTTCATATGTCACTCATCGCTGATGTTAGCTGTGGCCTGGAATTTAACTTGGCAGGTCGCTGTGGTGAGCGCGCAGTGCGTGAAACCGCTGCTCAACCGCTCCGCCTCGCATTGAGACAACAGGTCTCCTTCGCCGCAAGGAAGAGCTGGGTTCGCATAGCATCAATGCAGAAAAACAAAAAACAAAGAGAAAATAAATATCAACGGAATTGAGAAGAGGAAGCAAAAACCCCACGCGTCTCAGCAAGATAAATATATAAGTAACAAATAATGACGCCGTCATAGAATTTCCAAAATCCCTGAGTCCCTGTTGACACAAGACTTGAATTTCGTGCAGCTCGAGGCGACACGAGTCCAGTTCATCGCTTGCACGTTTATTAGCCGCACTAATTGGCACCTTAAGGGCAATATTCTCAAGCTGGGAAAACACTCTTTCTTATTGTGTCGCCGCTTAGTCACTTCTGTCAAGGGCCTCTCTTATGCTCGGTCAACAACAGGCACATTTTAACACGTCGGCTTTCGCGACCAATATTATTCATAATAGGGGCCGTCCATAAATGACGTTACGCACCTGGGGGGGATGGGGGGGGGATCAGACATTTGTGACGATGCGTGACGAGGGGGAGGGGGGTTTAAGAAATGTGACGTCACAGACTGCAGTCTCGTCCCTTCACCTGATGAAGGCCGCTTGTGTTGTGGCCGAAACGTCGTGAGAATTTTATTGTGTTATTTTATTTTATCAATTTATTATTTTATTCTCATTCTACGTGACTTTACCGAAAGAACCAAAGAAGATGAATCCTTGCAGTCACGAAAACTTTAAATCGAAATAAAATGCGCAATTTTAAATAAATATAGACAACACGTTCTACTTAATTAAATAGACTTTTTAATACATGTTTTCTCCTACAACATCGGAGTGCAGCGCCACATTAAATACGCACTACAATGACAATAGTTTAAAGCGATTTGAAGCATGTTTTATATATATTTTGGGGGGGGGGGGCGGGCAGAGCTTTGTGACGTCATATTTGAGGGGCGGTCTGATTTTTTCTGACGCCGTGTGACGAAGGGGGGGGGAGTCAAAATCGTCCAAAATCGCGTGACGTCATTTATGGACGGCCCCATAGACGTTTTTTGGGGTTCGATCGCGTAAACATAAATGCGTCGTTAACCCCGCCACCCCACGCGACACAGCCAATGAGTAAGGTTTGTCACGTAAACAGAACATGCCTTACGAGTCCAGCTCACCGGCGTGTTGGAGGGTAAGCACACAACATTTATAACTTACACAAGACTTGCACGTTGTCTCTGAAGCTTCCACACTTGCTGGGATGCTCTCGATGGCCAGGAGATGGTAGTACAGCAAGCCCCTTTGAGTTGTGATCCCCTTATCCATGGTGGTCCAAATGTCTCGTGTCTCCCATTTCATTCTCTAAAACGTATTTTTTTTTTTAGTATACTAATGGGTGTATAATGTAAGCAATATATATTTTTAAAAATCATGCTAGGGATCAGTTAATTCGGGGGGGGGGGGGGGTCACAAGACCTCTGAACCACCTTGCACTGTGGGATTTCAATCTTGATTTGAAGTTTTCGTGACTGCAGGGATCCATACTCTTTGGTTCTTGCGGTAAAGTCACCGTAGTAGGTAGAAAATAATTATAACCTCTTACCACGGCAACTCTCTCGCTCCCGCTTCAGCAAAAAAAATATTGCTGTGATTTTCCCACAGCAATAATTGCTTGTGCTCCAATCGAAACGTCGTGATTTAATGTATTTTATTTTATACCTACGTGACTTTACCGAAAGAACCGAAGAGTACTTATGGGATTTCTCTGCGTTCTCTGCCGGCTTCCTTACACGTGCAGAGCACTCGCTCGAAACGAATTGAGCCGTCAACCCAAACATCCCTTCAGAAAAAAATATTATGACCCTTTGAGCATATGCTGGGGAGTTAAATTACATTACTGTCATGATTATTGTCAAAGTGTATGTCTAGGGTGTAAAGCAATAACACACAACTAGAACATATTAATAATGTTATAACTGCGTTTTGTGTTTAGTTTGATGTCCTTCCCCCAGCACATCCGATTCGCACGGTTGGCTACGTACGGTGCGAAAGAAGTTCAGAATACATACTGTACATACATAATGCCATCTTCATGTTTAAATAGCTTATAGGGAGTATGGTGGATTAACTTTGATGAGAAATTGTACTGATTGCCTTGTCAAAAATGCTTCATGTTTACCTTGGACCTGGTCCAGGCTCCTCCATGTTCACGGTGAACCTCCGGTTGTCACCTGTCCCCCCCTCCCGGGTTTGACCAGGGGAGTCCGGGAATGATCACGTGGTTTTAGGTGGCCGGAATTGATTTGTACCTCCTAAGATTTTTATCAGAGTGCACTGCGGTTTTCGTAGACCTAGGATGACTTAAGAAAACGAGTCGAGGTTTAATCTGCCCATGGGAGCACTCAGCCGTACAGCTGTTGGGCTGCGGCATGTGGCTTGTAAATTGAACGTTTAGTTTATCTCACGAGGCGCTGTGAAACATGACATTTTGCACGCGCACATCTCTGCATGTTGCTAAATCGAATTGCCTTGCTTGCCGTAGAGTTGAACAAAACCGACGACAAGGACTACTTTGAGTGGTGCGCCACCATGCGAGCCCTGGCGTTATTTGTACAGGACATGAATGCCTCCTGACTGGAGCTGCTGTGTCACCATCGTCAGTACGTGTGTGGGTTGCGAGCGAATGATGATGAGTCTAGGGCTACAGTTTGGCCCGGGCCTGACTGTGTTAGTGTCCTTACGTGTCTGAGCCATAACCCACAGCTTCCATGCAACATACATTCCATGCATATTGTGTGGGGTTACTATGTGGGGATTGTGATCTCACTTATATTCGTGTGTGTGTCTGATTGTGATGTCCCAATTGTGACGGGGTCAGGGGCCTTAACACTTATCGTATGGCTGGATAAAAAATAAAGTCATGTATTATTACGAGTAGACAACTTGCTCTGCAACAGAAAAATAAGAGCCGTCGTTTTCACTCTTCTCACAATCTCAGAGAACTAAAAGTAATCTGCTTTATTTTAATGCAAGAATTGCCAACAATAGGTATTGTGAGGTTTCTTTTTATGCTGTCAAGGATTTAAAGAATATTCCACCGAAATAATTGCATTAATAGGAGCACAAACGTTAGAGCAATATTTAATGAACCGTGACAGTTCTGTGCATTCGTTACTCCCACCTCTGTAGTGTCTCTATCTAATTACGTCTTCTGAACTTTCTTCCGCTGTTTCAATGTGATGTTACACGGAATATCCCGTTTTGGCCAGTTACCCAGCTAGTTTCTGTGGCAACGGCCCGCAACAGCCACCGACAACATAGTTATTCATAATACAGGTTTTTTGGGGGGGGTTAGATTGTGTAAATGTGTCGTTAAACCTGCCACCACATCCAGTTAGTAAGGTTTGTCACGTAAACAGAATATGCCAATTCGTTACTAGTACACATTTATATATTTACGCGATCTAACCCAAAAAACCTGTACTCTGGATGATATTGGTCGCAAAAGCCTACGTCTTGAATTAACAGAGTTATTGTTGGGGGGTTGGAGCAGAACCCAGCCAGCAGCCAGCCAGGAATCGTGAGGCATACATTTTAATAGTACAGCAGAACCCCTCTTAATGACAACCCCTGTTAACGACTAATCGCTTAACGACGGCCTCCAGAGAGCCCAATATGTTCACTTAACGACCACTCCCCTGTTAACGATGGGCTTACGACGAGCACGCGACCATCAATTTAGGCCAATCGGCGAGCTCCAAAGTGGTCTGACCAGGCCTCGGCCAATCAGCGGCTTCCATTCATGAGCGTCGGGGCATTGTTTACATTCGGTGTCTGCTGCGCTTTGAAGTGGAAACATCTCCTTTGAATTCTTGGTGTACCGTATTTTCTATACTCGCTTTAAAGACTGGTTTCGTGGAACCAATTACCGTCGTTAAGAGGGGATCTACTTTACTGTAGTGTACATTATCACAGCCACATTAGGTTGTGTTGATGTCGCTGACGTTCAACATCGGTGTGTGTGTGTCTGATTAATTGCGTTGATGTCACGGGTGTGATTTTTGCGATTGTCCGCAGTGCGGATGGCGACTTTGCCGTTGTGCACATGACCAAGTTGCTCGTGCAGCACACGGGCAAGGTCGTTTGGATGCCGCCGGTCATCTTCAAGAGCTACTGCGAGATCATCGTCTCCCACTTCCCGTTCGACGAGCAGAACTGCAGCATGAAGCTCGGCACCTGGACTTACGACGGCAGCAAGGTCACCATCAAGCAGGTGTGTGTGCAGCCTGTAGATCGTCGTCGTCGTCATCATCTCCACGAGGGCACAACGATCGAAAAAACAGGGACGGATGGCAACGTGCTCCGGGTGTCGACGCTGATCCTTCGCGCGGTTCACACGGATGCGTGGCGAGTGCTTTGAGCGAGCGATGAATGGTTGGAACCATTGATCTCTTTGTGCGCGGTGGTCACCCATCACGACGGGTTGCCAGTGGGCTTGCGGGGGCTAACATGGTGGGCAGTAGAGGACAATGCAGCGAAATGCATTGTTGTACTGCACGTCTGTGCTCACGTGTCTTAAGCCCCCCCCCCACCCCCCGTATTCACTAACCCACGACTCATGACGAGGCCCTCATCCAGTCGTAGAGTGATTTAAATGACGGTACGTGTACAGTATGAGCAAGACACGTGCCCACCACGCTGGAGCGAGGTGGGCACAGGCGGTTCCACCGCAATGGGCCCCGTGCCGTGCACGAGCGCTGCCCTGCAAGGCACCCAGGGCTTGACTTCGAGCCAAGTCTGTCCGGGTCAGCAACCTGGAAAGTATTTCTGCACCCGGCACACCACGTGCAGTATACTCTACCTCTCACCACGGCTGTGTCGACTATTCACGCGCCTGCAGCCAGTCTACTTGTGACCCAGAAGATTATTTGGTGATAAGTGTAAGTCCCGGATTGTATCTGGTGTACCGAGACCTGTTCTCCCCCGCCCGCCGAAACCTCTGCCCAGGAGAGCGTCCACCAGGACATGAGCAACTTCATGGAGAACGGAGAGTGGGTGATGAAGGAATACCGCGGCTGGACCCACTGGGTGAACTACACCTGCTGCCCGGGGAAGCCCTACCTCGATATCACGTACCACTTTGTGATGCAGCGGCTGCCCCTTTACTTCATTGTCAACGTCATCATCCCCTGCCTGCTCTTCTCCTTCCTCACCGGACTCGTGTTCTACCTGCCCACGGACTCAGGTCTGCAGCGTTAGCACCACCAGACACATCATGATCCCGCTGGGATGATGATGATGATGATCCTGGATTTGGTGGTAATGTATTGATGATTCTGGTGGATGTGGTCTTTATGTATTATTGAAGATAGTGGTGGTGGTGGTGGTGATGTTTTTGGTTGTGTTGGTGATTTATTGATGGTCGTAGTGTTGATAGTGATGATTACGACGGTCATTCGTCGGTGGCGATGTAATGCCGACGATGATGATGGTGATGATGGTGATCGTGATGGTGCGTGGTTGTTGTGGTGATGTATTCTTCATGATGATGATAAGGGTGGTTTCCGTGGTTTCCGTGGTGTTGCAGTGGTGATATATTGATCATTCATGATGACGATGGTAGTAGTGGTAGTGGTGGTGGTTTGTAGTGGTGATACACTGTTAACATTGATCATGATGACGATGGTAGTAGTGGTGGTGGTGGTTTGTAGTGGTGATACACCGTTAACATTGATCAAGATGACGATGATAGTAGTGGTGGTGGTGGTGGTTTGTAGTGGTGATATACTGTTAACATTGATCATGATGACGATGGTAGTAGTGGTGGTGATGGTGGTGGTTTGTAGTGGTGATACACTGTTAACATTGATCATGATGACGATGGTAGTTGTAGTGGTGACGGTTGGTGGTGGTGATACACCGTTAACATTGATCATGATGACGATGGTAGTAGTGGTGGTGGTGGTTGGTCGTGGTGATACACTGTTAATATTGATCATGATGACGATGGTAGTAATAATGGTGGGGGTTGCGGTTGGTCGTGGTGATACACTGTTAACATTGATCATGATGACGATGGTAGTAGTAGTGGTTGCGGTTGGTCGTGGTGATACACTGTTAATATTGATCATGACGACGATGGTAGTAGTGGTTGCTGTTGGTCGTGGTGATACACTGTTAACATTGATCATGATGACGATGGTAGAAGTAGTAGTGGTTGCGGTTGGTCGTGGTGATACACTGTTAACATTGATCATGACGACGATGGTAGTAGTAGTGGTTACGGTTGGTGGTGGTGATACACTGTTAACATTTATCATGATGGCAATGGTAGTAGTGGTGGTGGTTGCGGTTGGTCGTGGTGATACACTGTTAACATTGATCATGATGACGATGGTAGTAGTAGTGGTTACGGTTGGTGGTGGTGATACACTCTTCACATTTATCATGATGGCGATGGTAGTAGTGGTGGTGGTGGTTGCGGTTGGTCGTGGTGATACACCGTTAACATTGATGATGATGACGATGGTAGTGGTGGTGGTTGCGGTTGGTGGTGGTGATACACCGTTAACATTGATCATGATGACGATGGTAGTAGTAGTGGTGGTTATGGTTGGTGGTGGTGATACACCGTTAATATTGATCATGATGAAGATGGTAGTAGTGGTGGTTACGGTTGATGGTGGTGATACACTGTTAATATTGATCATGATGACGATGGTAGTAGTAGTGGTGGTTACGGTTGGTGGTGGTGATACACTGTTAACATTGATCATGATGACGATGTGCAGGTGAAAAGATGACGCTGAGCATCTCGGTGTTGCTGTCCCTCACCGTGTTCCTGCTCGTCATTGTGGAGCTCATCCCGTCCACGTCCACGGACGTGCCCCTCATCGGGAAGTACATGCTCTTCACCATGATCTTCGTCATCATGGCCATCATCATCACCGTCGCGGTCATCAACATCCACCACCGCTCGCCGAGCACCCACACCATGCAGCCCTGGGTCCGCAAGGTGAGCCCATCACGCTTGGTTAGTCATCTTCATCGTCATCCATGGTCTTTCCACTGCTGGATGAAGGCATCATCGTTCCATAGTTTACCGCTACTGGATGAAGGCATCATCATCATCTTTCACTGCGAAGTATGTACTGCGCATTGAACTTCATTCGCATCATACGTAGCCAACCGTGCTAATCGGAGTTGAGGTGAAAGCATAATCATCATCATCGTGAGCCATGATCTATACACGGCAAAATTGAAGGGTCGCCCGCACCATCATCATCCTTCATAGTCCCGTGATGCCACATCGAGAAGCTCATCGTGCACATGAACTGAGCCCGGTGCTCCATCTCCGTGGTCGTCGTCGTCCTCCTTCACATCAGCCAACCTCCTTTCGAGTCGTGGATGTTCCCTGCCCAAGCCCACTCATGTTTCTCAACAACCAACACACGAGTACACCGGTTCTTAACGCGTGTGTGCAGGAGAGTATTGACCTTGCGCTTGACATTGCACGTCGTCTCGGCCAGCGATGATGAATTCATTACCTCATACGATTGATTAGACGATTCAGTTACGTTGTCCTTATGCCTTAGAGCCAACTGCCCCCCCCCTCCCCCCTCCCCCCTCTAAAGTGCTCCAATATGATGGGATCTCGGAAGCGAAGCAGGGTCAACCCTGCTTCATTCGACAAGATTTTGCCTCTGTTATGAGAATTTCGCGGCGCTGTGAACACCCATGGTGGTGGAGTCTGGGCCAGAGGGCGACAGCGCCAGGTTGTTTCCAGCCAATCAGCTCGTTCCTGAGGGCAGACTGATTGGTGGCACGTGATGAGGTTGGCTTTTTAGTGTCCCTATTGGGGCCTCCTTCAAGGAAATGTCAACGCTGAACCATAGAAGGCCTCCGTCGGGTAGTCGTGTAAGTATACAGCAGTAAAGTGTTCCATGGTAGAGAACGATAACAGTAACAACAGCTACAGAGTTGGATGCAGAGCTGCTACGGTACCATTCGTATTGTATAACTACTGACCAATGGCCAAATTAAACTTGACAATAACAAAGACAAAGATCCCCTGTATAGCCTTAACAGGCTGTTGGGGCTAATGCTGTTAGCGATAACCTATTAATGCCGGCACGGCACACGAGGGGGTGGGTGACCGACATCACGCCCGGTCACCTTTGTCTTCCTTTGTCTCCTTAGTGGTGATGTATACACACCACACTAGGTACTTATTTGAGGCTAAGTCGACCTAGGGGAGACCAGGGCCAGTTCAGATAATTGTCGCTGGTGTTGGCCGTGAGCGGGAATCGAACTCAGGTCACCGGGTTCGAAGCGCAGCGCACTAACCGTTACACTACCGCTCCGCACAATGACCACTTTGTCACTCGCCATCGGTCTTCATGACTTCCACTCCTTGTGACGTGGCCTTCCTTCAGTGATGCTCAGACAAACGCCTGCCCATGTTACGGGCGAACTTTCGAAGATCGCACCCACGTGGAGCCGCACGGCGCTCGTCCATGACGCACGGCATTCCGCCCGCACCCTTTTCCCCCGCTCGTTCTGACAGCTCTTCATCGAGACCATCCCCGGCATGATGTTCTTCTCCACCATGAAGCGTCCCTCCAAGGAGCGCCAGGACAAGCGCATCATGGGCGAGGGGCTGGACATCTCTGAGATCTCGGGGAACCAGGAGCCGCCGGGCCAGGTTTACCACTCCGCGATCACGCGCAATGCCGACGTGCGGGCCGCCATCGAGGGCATCAAGTACATTGCGGAGCACATGAAGGGCGACCAGGAGTCGAGCAACGTGAGTGTGTATGGGTGTATGTTGAACTTCTTAAGCACCACACGTAGCCAGCCGCGCTCATCGGAGGTGCAGGGGAAGGACAACAAACAGTTTTAAAGAAATGAGTTTTCAATCGAGATTTAAAAGTGCAAAGCACCGGTGGCTTCCTAACATCGTAAGGAAGAGCGTTCCAGACGGCCACAGGAGCGCATCTGAACGCGAGCGATGCGGTGACCGTCTCTGTTCGACGGCCAGCCAAAAGCCGCTGCTGCGAGGATGACCGGAGTTCGCGTGATGGTCTACGTACCGTGATGAGATTGGCGAGGTATCGTGGTTCGTTTGTGGCCAGTGTGACGAGCGTGACCGTACAGCGACGTCACAGCGCACCGTCCCACGCAGCACCACCAGCCCCGTCCCACGTTGCCAGAGCCCGCTTCTCTAGACACTCTCACTGGGTTGTTGATAGGGCTGGGCACTCTGATTTACTTACGTGATCGATTCCTCTACCGATCATTGGTTCCATTCATCAGTTTGATTATTCAACTAATCAGATACCTCGAACATAGTTGTGGGGGGGGGCGAGAAAAAAAAGTTGCACTTTTGTTCCGGTGCGTGTCTCTGGACGGGAGGTGATACCGTCGGCTTCATCAGCCGCGTCACCCTGGGAGTGGCTTGCAAGGGGTTTCCTGCCACCGGGAGGCAGGGGATGTTTGGGGCACCGCAGTTTTTAAAGGGTTTTGAATAATTGACGACAAAGCTGTCAATTTGATCATTTATCATTAATTAATCAAGGAATTTCCCCAGCTCTGGTTATGAATAGGTGTTTTGATCGGTAAACTTGATGTTGAAAAACTTGTGATGGAATTTTTTGAGAAAATCCCACCATGGGACACTTTCATGTCCTACGTTTTCTATTTAGTAATAATCACAACAATGACCCTTCTTGCATAGCAATAGAGTCCAGACCACCCTTAAAAAAAAGTGGATGGTTGTGAACCAGGGGCCGAGGAGGCTCTAAAAGAGATACGAGTTGTTCAGAGGGTGAGATCATTCACAGCAGCAGCAGCAGACAGTGTGGCAATGTGTGGCTCAATGGGGGTCAATGAAGCTGCAATCAGGAGAGAAATTTCAGCAACGGAGAAGTGAAAGAGACAGATGTCGAGTGAGGAGGAAGGAGATTTGGGATCCAGAGGAAGTTGGTAACAGAGTGATGGGCAAAATGGTGGTAAGAGCGATTACGACGTCAAATGTTTGGCCAAGGGGATTATGTGGGGCATGAGATTAGTTGGGAGAGATCCATAGATTCCAGCAATTATTCAACTCCTTATCTCACTGAATCACAATGGGCACTGAAACACCTGTGATCAGGGCTTAATTTCTCGCCGAATTACTTCTGAGTCACCTTTAGAATGAAGTAGACGCGTGACCAATGGCCACAGCCGTAGCGAGAAGTGTAATGCGGTGCAGTGTGCCGGATGCATAATTACCTGCTGGGCCGTGCCCTGGTCAGACCGGGCTAAAATGAAGCCCTGCGTGTAAACGCCTGACAAGGGCACGCGCCGCGTGTCTTCACGAACAGCGGCGGTCGAAACGCCTTCGCGCCGTCACTCACATTGGCGACCCTCTGCCCCGCGTTTTCCACTTTCCGTGACCCCCCCACCCGCCACAGGCAGCGGAGGAGTGGAAGTTCGTGGCTATGGTCCTGGACCACATCCTGCTGGGCTTCTTCAGCCTGGTGTGCGTCATCGGCACCATCGCCGTGTTTGCGGGACGCCTCATCGAGCTCAACATGAATAAATAGAGCCCCGGCCCTGCAGGGCGCCAGCAGCAGCAGCGGCAGGGGCGGTGGTGGCAGCCAAAAAAATCCGTGTACGCCCCATGCGGCGACGAGTCGGATTGGTTCCGACCGCAGCCGTGGCCAATGTGGACTGTTGACCTGATTTCGAAACAAGAGTCTTGATCTAAATGCACTGGTGTGGTGTGTGTGTGTCGTGGTTGTCGCGCGTCCTCTGGTGAAACACGTGGATTTCCACGGTGTTGGGTGGTTTACTGACCCGTGGCTTGTCGATGTAGATTATTACCCGGGTTGATGCACGATCAGCGTGAAGACCTTCCGAGCGATGAGCTGCTCACTGGGGTCATGTCCTGTAACTGTGCAGGAGACCTCACAGATGTGTAGAAATAGCCCGTGGCTCCTGTACGCTCAGCTGTGCTGTGTGAATGGTGCGTCCGGGCGTTTGGCCATTGTCTCAGGGTCCCACAGTTGTCGTTGAGGATTCACATTATGACCCTAGCATTACCCTGTAATTCACCTCTTTATCACATGGTTAATTTCAAAACCAAAAAAAATGTGTTAATGTGTTTTACCAAAAAAATAAACTGATACTGTAAATGTGCTTACGCAATCCGTGTGGAAATTACCTTTGCTAAGTAGTAGGGTCACGCAGTGTGACATTTAACAAGAATTCTTGTAAATCCAGTAATTGAGGACTCCAGCTTAAACGGGACGCGTGTTGCAAGGCAGAACCGGATGGTGTGGGGACAGTCAGGAGATGAACGTGTGGGGAAATAATCACGCGGTGAAGAAACCCACCTGCAGTTGCTCACTTCCACACGCGGGTGTGCGTGATGTGGTGGGGTTGCGTCTCCTATAACGAGCAGGGATAAAGCAATTCCAGCACTTTCTGCAAATGAAGAGAAACTCACCAAAACAGAAGAGGGCTTGGGAGGCTTGGAAACAAATTCGCGTGATGATGGTGATAATATTAATACACGTAAATATTGTGACCAAAGGATTGGCCCTCCATCGTGCCTTGCATGTTGTCACTTGACCTCACCACAATTTGTGTGCAACGCACACAGCCTTCGTTTAGTATTTGCAGTATTTATTGGGTTCTTAAATTCTGCACCGTCGCAAAGTGCCATACATCACCCTTCAATCATTCCAATACCTAAATATAGGTTTTATCATTTTTTTCAGTCGAGGAGATCCCGTTTTGACAGCTGTAAAACATGCATCTCATCATCATTCTTAACATTAGTTGACATCCTCACCATAAACTAAACTATTTTATTCACCAGGTAAAGCCCACTGAGCTATATAGCTCTTTTTTTCAGAAGTGACCTGGCCATAAATGATCGCTCAACTAGAGGTGGCTTATTCAGTCGAAATGTACAGCAGCCAAATAATCAAAACGCATGTTTCTAAATGTGGAGGGAAACACCGGAGGACCCAGAGATAATTCCACGCAATCACGGGGAGAACATGCAAACTCCGCATACATAGGCGTCAGTGACAGGGTCGATTCCATCCACGACCTCCTGTATACCAGGCGAGGGAGATAACCGCACCTCCGGTTAGCACGGTGCGACAAAAATACAAGATACACATACATACTCTTTGGTTCTTTCGGTCAAGTCACGTAGGTAGAAATAAAATAAAAGTCACCTACGTGACTTTACCGAAAGAACTCAAGAGTATGGATTCCTGCAGTCACGAAAGCTTCAAATCAAGATACACATACCGTACATGTGTTTATGTATTCATCCGTAAGTCGCCGGGCCTGTGTGTGTATTTGCTTCACTCGATGCGTGTCCTGTAATCATCGTGCACCGTGGCATGCACGTATCTCGTGCGAGTCCCGTTTTAACAAGAGGTTCGGCTGTGCTGAGTGTGTGAGGTGTTACTGGGTGCGAGTGCGCTTTTCCTGCTGCGTGGTGTGTGTGCACCCGATGAAGCCACACGCGGTGCGGTGCCAGTTTATTGCTCGTGTGTCTGGCGACGCGACTCGGCTGCCTGCTTCGTTGCTGGCGGTGGCGCTCTCGTGGTGTCGTTCCGAGAGACACGGACTCCGACGATGAACAAATGACCCGGACCCGCAGAGCAAGCCATAAAAAAAAACGTCTGCGTTACAACCCCCAAACCAAACAACTAACAACGACCCACCCACCCACTCGCCAATCACCCGCGGGTACCCGAGCCGATACAGGACTCTGACCCCCACCCCCCCTTGTTGTGCTCGTGATTAGATTTCCCTGAATATCAACGACCAAGGGTCAGCACCCCCCCCCCCCACACACCCACACAAGAACTCCGTCGTTGAGCACACGCGGCGCTGTGATTAACGCGATGCCATCGGACTGCCGCGGCTCGAGAGCCGATCGGTGATTTGACCGCATATATCGTAATCACAGTGACACACAGAGTCAGTATCTTTATTTATACGGGAGAAGTCCGATGAGCTGTGAAGCTCTTTTTCGCAGTAGGGGCGGGTCAGAAAGTTACAACGAAACAAACAATACAACAACAAAACGATAAGAGTGCAAAGTATAGGAAAGGTAAGCAAATCTCTAAAAATAAATAAATTTAAACTAAACAATTTGCAATTTATTTTATTTTACCAGGTACAGCTCACCGAGCTATTAGTTATTTTTAGAAGCGACCTGGCCGGAAATGATAGCCCAACAGAGTGGATTATCACGTGGAAATGAATACCAACCCGTATGAATCTGAATACGAAAGTGCGCGCACTCACAAACAAAACAAGAGATGGCTTTTGTTTACCCATCCTGGGTGCTAGTAGTTGGGATTAACTCGGAGGGTTACTCAAGCGAGGCACTGAGACATGTCCAACGCCCAAGGAAGTAGGGAGGGGATGTTGCAGGAACGCCCGGAGGGGGTTATCGGCCACCCCACAAAGCTGCATCTAAACAAAGATGTTCCGGGATTTCAGGAGCTGTGTCACCGAGGAAGCCTTGCATCACCCCTGCCACTATCAAAATGAAGAAACGGGAGCTATTAAACGATAAAGCTACTTTATTTTAAGTGGATTTTTGTTATTTTCCAGTTGTGAATTACGACGTTGCTGGGTTTTTTTAGGGGGGGGGGGGGGGGCGTAAAGGATCTAATATGTGGACAATACCAACTTAGGAATCGCTTAATGTTTAAGATTTTGATGAATATAGCAGCCTCTGGAGGTTGGAGAGATCACGCGAATCCATTAACATACACCATATTCGATTTGCATCTAACGCAAATTTAAAAATCGGTATTGATCGATGCAATGGCATATCGTCACGGCATTCCAATGCACTGGCCGGCACCGCTATACTCAGTTTAAAAAAAAAACAAGAGTAACTTGGACACATGTCAAAGCAGGCATTGTACACTGATTAAAACGTTGCTTCTTGGGGGACACTGGTCTGTTGTTTTTCATTAGACTCATCCACCTTAATCTCATCCACCTTAATCTCATCCACCTTCATCTCATCCACCTTCATCTCATCCACCTTAATCTCATCCACCTTAATCTCATCCACCTTAATCTCATCCACCTTAATCTCAACCACCTTCATCTCATCCACCTTAATCTCGTCCACCTTCATCTCATCCACCTTAATCTCATCCACCTTAATCTCATCCACCTTTATCTCATCCACCTTCATCTCATCCACCTTCATCTCATCCACCTTAATCTCATCCACCTTCATCCCATCCACCTTCATCTCATCCACCTTAATCTCTTGCACCTTTTCCTGTCATCATTTTGATCCCGGTTCACCTTCAATGACCACCCTAAGTGGTATGCAGACTATTTTGTTGTCCAATTGTGTTCCTCTGACAGTTATCTTCAATATGTTTATAAACTATATAAACTGAGTTTAACACGTAGAAGGCTTTCGCGACCAATACTATTAATAATAAAAAGTGATTGGGTTAGATCGCGTAAGTATAAATGTGTCTATTCTGGCAAATCACCCGATGATGCTGGATGTAATTACCAGCGAAACGTCGTACTACTCAAATTGTTAATTCTGTGGATTTACTACACACCGGTGGGTTCAAGTAGTAACTAATTGGCGTTTTGTTTACGTGACAAATCCCTTACTAATTGGCTGTTTCGGGTGGTGGAGGATTACGACACATTTTGACTTATGCGATATAACCCAAAAACCTTTATTATGAACTATAAAACATTTTTTTTGTGCCACTTCGTTGAGCTATCATTTGTGGCCAGGTCGCATAACTCGGTGGGCCTTATCTTGTAAAATAAAAAAGAGTTAATATATTACTTTAGTTTGACTGTTAATAAATGTGCTTGGGCAGGACGCGAGGATTGTCGAAGCGAGGATTGTCGGCGGTCAAGACTACCAACGGAGTGCCTGCCAAGCTAGTCGCTACACACCCGGGGAAAAGAGCCACCGCTCGTCGCTACACGCCCAGGGAAATGAACCACCGCGGAGATGGAACAATTAAATCAGATAATGCGCAGGAGCCAGATGGCGAGTGATAGCGACGGCTTAGGGAAGCCTCCATCTAGCAGTGGATAGATCGTGAATGACACGTCTCCTGCCAAAGATCTGAAGGCAACGACGCATCGTTGCCTTCAGATCTTCTTCTTCACTGTGGTGTAAAATTGCAGAATTTCGCAAATTATTAACGCGGGTTTCCCCGCTCACGCGTTTATTTTGCTCACTGCGCTTTTCCGGCTGTGGTCAGACCACAGTCCCTGTGGTCCGCGCGTGTGATTCGCACGATATGATAAATAATGATGAAAATTCAAATAAATAATATGTGTTTACTATAAGTGTTTTTTTTTAGAGAAAGAATCGGAAAAATAATCGAGTCGAAGCTTTAACCACAGGAATGAGGAAACTCACATCCAGATACCAGGGTTAGAGTCCAGCAGCTGTGCACTCGGGACTCCGTGTTGGCGAGACGACGCGAGCCATGGAGAACTTCACCTGCAGCGACCCATCCATCGAGAATTATCGCTACTTTGGAGCCGCGCTCGGCGTGCTGGTCACGGTGGTGGGCACCCTGGGCAACTGCATGACCATACTGGCGTTCGGCATCGAGAAGAAGCTGCAGAGCAAGCTGAACACGCTCATCGTCAACCTATCGCTGTCGGACCTCCTCTACTGCGCCTTCCTGCAGCCGATCACCGTGGACTCGTACATCCACTTGAGCTGGAGGATGGGAGCGGACGGCTGCAGAGTGTTCGGCCTGCTCCTCTTCGTGTCCAACGCCGTGTCCATACTCAACCTGGGCTCCATCGCGGTCAATCGCTACTTTCTCATCAGGGACAAGCGCCTCTTTGATCGGATCTACACCAGGTACACGATGCCCGCGTTCCTGGGCATCCCGTGGCTGGTGGGCCTCGCTTCGTTTGCGCCTCTCTGGACGAGTTTCGACTTCCTGAAGCAGGTGTGCACGTGCAGCTTCCATCGCGAGAGAGGACGCCCGTACACCACCATCCTGCTCGTGTTCTACTTCGTGGCGGGCATCGCCTCCATCACCGTCTTCTACTGCCTCATCCACAGGAGGGTGGCCGTGTCCTCCAAAGCGCTCCACAAGTACCGAGTGCGGATGAGCGCGCATGGGCCGCCGGGAGCGCACGGGAGGGAGACGGCGATGCTGGCGGCGACGCCACGAGAAGCGAGCACCTCGTGCAGCCTGGACGCGGCGAACAGCGCCACCAACACCACCGCGGGCACGTGGACGGAGGCGCTGCGCGACGAGCCAGGCGCGAGCAGAAGTCACGACGAGGCGTCGGCGAACTCCAGCGACCTCGACACGGGTGAGAATGTCACCAAAAAGAGGAGGAATAAGAAGAAGAAGTCGGCGGCTTCTGCGGTGAAAAAAAATCTGGACGGCGAATTTAAGAAAGTCACCAAGATGTGTTACGTGATCTTTTTGGTCTTTGCGGTTTGCTATTTACCGTTCTGCGTGCTCAACGTCATCGATCGAAAAGGAACATATTCACCGATTTGGCACATGATGGCTGCCAACTGCACGTGGCTCAACAGCGGCATTAACCCCATCCTCTACGCGCTGATGAACCGGCAGTTCAAGGACGCATACAAGGCGATCGTTCTCTCTCCGCTGCGTTTAATGCGGAAAACTCGGCACTGAGACCGCGTGCCCCCCCCCCCCCCCCTGCGAGGTGTTCACAAGAAGTGTCAAGATGTCAGATAGCCGCGCGTGTGTGTACGGTGCTGCGAGCCAAGACTTGTATTCACAATTTAGAAGCAATGTGTGGTTTATAGAAGCAAAGTAGTGCGTGTGAAAGCTTAACCAACGTGGTTTTTTTTTTCTCTCATTAGTTTAGAAATGTAGTCGTGGTGATGTCTCAACAAAGTTGCCGCCATAACTAGATAAAGACTACGATGCAGGGAATAAGTAAAGAATAATAATGCCTGCGTTATTATATTGTTCACGTGTGCTCTGCATTGCTATGCAATCACACGTGGTAGGTAAGCTGCTCTCACGTGCACGATGTTTTCGACATCTCAAATCTCACGCATTTCATGCGCGCGTTACGCAGCACCGAGCCAACACGCACAACAAACGAACTCAACACGTTCGTCAATATCAATACATTTGTATATGTACAAAAGGCAACGTTTCGGGCAATGGCCCTTCTTCATTAGCACATCAATGCAGAGTGCTATGAAGAAGGACCATTTGCCTTGAACGTTGCGTATTATATATAGTTTCCTATTAAGGTCAGAGTGTTGTTGACGAATGTTTTGAGTTATGTTATAAATTGTGTTTGTTCACCACGTGTCAACAGCAGTAGCAGCACCACCACCAAATAATAATTCGTTTCATGTTGAACACAATTAAACGATTTCTCCTTCCCCCTCTCCCCACGGCGCGTCTCATGCAATCACGAGTCATTCCGATGGGCACTCGCACGCACCCCCATCTTGAGACGTCCGGTGGTCAGTGAAGGGGTTTTAAACCACTCATGTGCAGCATTTACATTCGTGCGTTACAGTACTATTAAAGTAATTAGCTCAGATCTTTTTACAATTCACAAATAAAAATCCTTTCTCCCACCAGCACAAGACTCTACACCGTGGTTGGCTCCTAACATACGTGGTTATTGGTTATGATCGTGAACCATGAACGGCATCTATCGGGGAAAGTCACAAAGTCATTAATACGTACATATGGTCATTCAAAACGTAAATCCTGCACGCGCGACACGTTTGGAAATGGTGTTAGTTACGTTATTTCAAGATATGTATTTATACGGAATGGCATTACTCTTACACTTGAAACGGAATCGGGTTTTTTTCTTCCTCCAGGGACATGTGGGGCCCCCGTTGTAAACCAGACACGTTGTTATGCGCAGCGTCATTGAAACATAGCGGCTGTTATCGCGCCGGGCACGAAATCAGATCCTTTCTCTCGATTATTCAAACTGCGTCTGGTTGCTGTGGCCCTCGCTGTAACACTGTGACAGTCTTCACTGTCGTTTGGAATCATAACAGGAATAAATCAATTTTGATTTAAAGCTTTCGTGACTGCAGGGATTCATATTCTTGGTTCTTTCGGTAAAGTCACATAGAAAGGAAACAATAAAATAATAAAAATATAAAACAATAAAATTCTCACGACGTTTCGACTGCAACGCAAGCAATCATCATCAGGTGTGAAAACAACAGCAAGAACATTTTCAAATATAATGTATAGGAAACCACAGCAAGAATTTCAAATTTTCTTGCTGTGGTTTTCACACCTGATGATGATTGCTTGTGTTGCAGTCGAAACGTCGTGAGAATTTCATTGTTTTATATGTTTTATTATTGTATTGTTTCCCTTCTACGTGACTTTACCGAAATAACCATGAATAGGAATAAATAATGCAACACATTCGTTAAATAACACTACCCTAAAAAAGGAAACACGCATCATAGGCAATGGTCATTTTTCCTATACATTATATTTTTTTCCTATGCAGACCACAATGTTGTTGACGAGTGTGTTGAGTTGCGTTGTAATCTGTGCGTGTGCACCGCTGCCAACGCAGCAGCATGCTCACTGTAATGTGTCGTGCGTGGTATCGTTTTTTTAATAAACACGTTTTTGTAATGAAAAACACTGCACGTGATCTCGTATAACTCAGAGCTGATATCAACACGTGTGTGTGTGCTGGGTCAGCAATGCTGTGGTCCTTGGTTTGAGGTCTGGCTTTCCAGGTTATGCGTGTACGCAGATACGAGAGTCTCATTTTCCGGAGGGCCGCATTACGAAATAAATACACAGATAAAGCGGGCAAGAGCAACAACGTGCCGCGTATGAATGTCAAGCAAAACAGGAGCATCTTTGAATATATACATTAACAATTCAGTTTACAATTCATCTCTCGACTGATTTTGATTAACGTATTTGCTTGTATTCTTGCGTATGCCAATACACTGTAGAACACGTGTAAACTCCCTTGCAGTTTGCGTGTCTCTGCGGACATTTTGTGGCAGACTGTTTGCCAGAATAGGTAACCAGGGGAAGGAAGGTGTCAGTTACAGTGTTTTAATTATGAGGCGCATTGCGTTATTGAATTGTGCATCTACCAGTTTTGTATAAGAGCTCCTGGACCAGGCTGGAGTGCACTGAGTAGGTAAGTGATAGGGTGGCGGTTCGCAGCACATAAACTAAAACTGAACTATTTTATATTTTACCAGGTATGGCCCACTGAGGTATATTGCTTTTGTCAGAAGCGGCCTGGCCACAAATTAGAGCTCAAACGAAGTGGCTTATCACGTGGAAATGTATCGTAGTCAAATACTCTAAACGCATGTTTCTAAATGAGGAGGTAAAATCCGGGGGACACGGAGAAAAAGCCACGTGAACCACGGGAGTGAGACACGCAAACTCCAAATATACAGCAGGAGTCAAGGTGAGGATTGAACCCAAGACCTCCTGAGTACGAGGCGAGGCAGATAACATATCGCCAACGCGATTCCCCAGGTATTTCTTGCACACTTCTATAGTAGGGTAATTCTTGATTTGGTCTTTTCACAGTTCTGTTTTATGTGGGGCTTGAAGGACAGGCTTCTATCCATGAAAACCCCTGGACATCATGGAGTGGGGTCATAGCGCACTGAGCTACCACAGAAGGTCACATCAAAGGTGACATTTGCTGCATGATTGTTCTGGTGGAAAGCGCTTGTGGTAGTTTATAGGGATTTGGTCAGTCTACAACGACGGAAATATGCCTCCAATAACGGATCAGCTGTTGTCGAGTACCGTATTGGCAATATTCTCGAGGTCTGTGCCCTGTGAAGCAAGGGCTATGTCATCTGCATGTTTGCTCGATGAGCTGTTGAAGTCACTGGCGGAGCCAGCGGGGGGGGGGTGGCACGTGCCCCCCCCCCCAATGATCCGATCGAAACCCTAATTTCGATCGGATCATTGGGGTTTGTTAGTAATAAATCGGCATTTTGCGACCCCCACTGCCACTGTGTAGCATATTATTACGTGCCAGGGACTCTATAAGATGATAGGACAATAGCCTGAGTCCATAATTGGCAATAAGTAACGGCAAAGCGGTTAAAAGTGACTCACAGAATTGTGCGCAGTTGTGTATACAGTACACGACTTCTCCAAAGGCATTCACCTTCAGCGAGCGCGATGCCGATCACACCACGCGGTTTGAATTCGACCCTCGATCGATGGCTGCGCCATCGCCGCAACACGCGTCGAATAAAAAGCAAGGGACAAGTCCTTACTTACCAACAACTCCTTACTTACTAACAACTCCTTACTTACTAACAATTCCTCTATCATTTTTCATTGCTGGAGGGGTTGCCTCCCACCCCTACCTGAAAATACTGGCTCCGCCATTGGTTGAAGTCAGCCACGTATATCAGAATCTTTACAATAAAAGAATAAAAATATAAAACAATACAATTCTCACGACGTTTCGACTGCAACACAAGCAATCATCATCAGGTGTGGTTTTCACACCTGATGTGGTTTTCACACCTGATGATGATTGCTTATTTTTTATTTAAAGCTTTCGTGACTGCAGTAATTCATATTCTTAGCTCTTTCGGTAAAGTCACGTTGAAGGGAAACAATAAAATAATAAAATATATAAAAACACAATACAAAATTTCACGACGTTTCGACCATAACACAAACGGTCGTCATCACCTGATGACGACAGACATCACCATAACACAAACGGTCGTCATCACCTGATGACGACCGTTTGTGTTATGGTCGAAACGTCGTGAGAATTTTTATTGTTTTATATATTTTATTATTTTATTGTTTCCCTTCAACGTGACTTTACCGAAAGAGCTAAGAATATGATTGCTTGTGTTGCAGTCGAAACGTCGTGAGAATTGTATTGTTTTATATTTTTATCATGTTATTGTTTCACTTCTACGTGACTTTACCGAAAGAACCAAGAATACAGGGTGACAGTTCCCATCACCATGGGACATCAGACGTCACGTCACGAGAATCCCAAACCTCACCTCCAGGAACATAAAACCTCGTCGTCAGGGTGGGGGGTGGGCCCAGACCTTACCACCAGAGAACCCAGACCTCACCACCAGAGACATAAAACCTCGTCGTCAGAGGGGCAGACCTTACCACCAGAGACGTCAGACCTCATCACTTGGGGGTTCCAGACCACACCACTTTGGGGCACCCAGACCTCACCACCAGAGACCTCAGATCTCACCACCAGGGGGCACCCAGACCTCACCACCAGAGACCTCAGATCTCACCACTTTGGGGCACCCAGACCTAAACAACAGAGACCTCAGATCTCACCACCAGAGACCTCAGATCTCACCACCAGGGGGCACCCAGACCTCACCACCAGAGACCTCAGATCTCACCACCAGGGGACACCCAGATCTCACCACCAGAGACCTCAGATCTCACCACTAGGGGGCTCCATAACCCAGCACTAAAGGGTAGTAGCCCAGACCTCACCAACAGAGACATCAGATCTCACTACCCGGGGGCTCCAGAACTCACCACTAAGGGGTAGTAACCCAGACCTTACCACCAGAGAACCCAGACCTCACCATCAGAGACGTCAGACCTCATCGCTTGGGGGTTCCAGACCTCACCACTTTGGGGCACCCAGACCTCACCACCAGAGACCTCAGATCTCACCACTAGGGGGTCTCCAGAACTCACCACTAAGGGGTAGTAACCCAGACCTCACCACCAGAGACCTCAAAATCTCACCACTAGGGGGGGGGGGGGTCTCCAGACATCACCACTAAGGGATAGTAGCCCAGACCTCACCACCAGAGACCTCAGATCTCACCACCAGGGGACACCCAGACCTCACCACCAGAGACCTCAGACCTCACCACTAGGGGGCTCCAGACCTCACCACTAAGGGGAAGTAACCCAGACCTCACCACTAAGGGGTAACTCAGACCTCACCACCAGAGACCTCAAGATCTCACCACTAGAGACCTCAGATCTCACCACTAGGGGGCTCCAGAACTCAGCACTAAGAGGAAGTACCTCAGACCTCACCACTAGGGGGGGCTCTCCAGACATCACCACCAGGGGGCTCCAGATATCACCCTTCAGGCCGTCCCAGGCCCTGCACACTAGAGGGCAGTAGTCTGTGCGCCGGTGGCCACGCAAAAGTGCGGCTCAAGCAGTGACGGAGCGCAGAGAGGAACCGGAGGAGGAGGTGGTTGGTAGCGTGCAGGCGAGCGAGCTGTGACCGGCTGCAAGAGCCCCGAGGCGAGGTAAGAGACCCAGGGGGTGGGGGGGGGGGCGGCCACAGAGGGCCCCGCCGACCCGAGGCGGCCCGGGGCGGTCGCTGTCGGCCGGTTCGGGGCCGGGCAGACGCGGCCGCGCGCGGCGGGCCGGGCCGGGCCGGGCAGGGCCGGGCAGGGCCGCCGCAGGAACCGCGCGAGCCGTGGGGGGTCTGGTTACTTGCTGGTTAAGTACAGGGGACACACACACACAGTCTGGGCAACCCGAGTTCAAGTGTCGTCTGCGTGTCGGGGGTGTTGACCGGTCCGGGTCTAGGGTCTCTGTTCTGATATTAAAAGTGCCTCTCATTCCGCACTTTCGGTTCCCTATAGACTGTTGCGTGGAGTGTGCTTGCACGCCTGATGTGCGGGGTCACCGTGCAGTATGGAGGCTTCCAGGTTATCTGGGGTCTACAGCAGAACCCGAGCCCCGGCACCGCGTTGTGTACCCGAAGCGCCCCCCACCTCATCCTTCACGTTGCTGAAGCCCTGCGCGTGATGCCTGTCAATTGGGCCATCGTCCTTCGCTTCTCTTCTTGCCTCCCAACCCACCCAGCCATCCATCCCCCCCTGTCAAAAAAAAAAGTATCGCGTGTAGAGCGAGCGCCTGTTCTCGTGAGATCTGCAGGAATGTTAAGTGGGGTGTTTATACGGGAAACCTCGCCTAGCCTCAGTGCTGACTTTTCAAGGAGGGTCCTGCGTCGGGATGCTTGGACGGTTACGTTTGTAGGTTGTTTGGTGTGTTGGTGAGGCAGGAATCCGGAGCACCTGGAGGAATCCTCACGCTAAACCAGGGGTGTGGGGGTGGGTGAACCTTTTTTTTCTGCCAAGAGACATTTGGATATTTATAACATCATTCGGGGGCCATACTAAATCATCAACTTGAAAATTAGCCTGTTATATTTGTTCAAACATTTAATTAACTCACCCCTCATGTGATGGCTGGAACTGCTTCTCTTTGGTGAGGCGTGTGATGATGTTAGCTGGTATTGACGATGTTGCAACTCGCAACTGCTTTGCCAAGTTTGCTCTCCTAGATTTATTGAATTTCGAGTCCCGCCTGCGGTTGCCTTGGCAGGGCCACACCAAATGATTTCGCGGGCCTTGTACGGCCCGCGGGCCGGACGTTCCCCACTCCTGCGCAAAACGATGGGCTAACACTAAACTGTCCCGGGCAGATGTGTCCGCAAAACGATGGGCTCACACTAAAATGTCCCGGGCAGATGTGTCCGCAAAACGATGTGCTCACGCTAAAATGTCCCGGGCAGATGGGCTCATAAACCCACTTGTTGTACTGCCATGTCTTGGTCACAACGCGGTTCATGCGGTGGGGGGGTGGGTAGGGATGGGTCGTTTCATAAATCTCGATATTGTACCACCAACCTCTGCCTCCAGAAGCCTAGGGTCACAGGCGTGTGCCACCACACCTGATTGGGTCACCAACCCCATCTCAAACTGAGGCGTTGAGGTCCATGACCTTTGGAGCTGAGGGAAGAATCCAAGGAGAAATCCCATTTCTAAGCTCCACCTACCTGGAGGTGTTCCGTCTCCGTTGAAGCTGTGTTCGTGTCAGGTTTTAAATGCGACAATCGAACACTGTTGCTGACGCGGTCTCCTCAATATTCACCCGTGGCTATTTTTTTTCAGCGACGGATTGCACCCTTATAGTAGTCTGCTCAAGGTGATGTTCTGCAACATTTAAATCATTGGCTGCAATAAGCGCCTGTATCTACAAACAGAAAGTGTGCTGAACCACAGGGTGTACCCTCTCCCGAGACTTGGAGTAAACACAGGGTGTTTGTTGGGATTTGCGCTCAAGTGAAGGAGAGACATGGCCATGCTTGAAGGCCCCAGTGTGCGTGGGTGATCCAGCATCTGGACATCAGACGCTCGCCACGTTTATAAATGATAGGCATGTGGGGGCACAAATAGCACAAGCTATGCTTTTCACAACACACACACAAACTGCTTAGTAACATTTTAAAACTAACAGTGAAGTCGTCTGTTCGGGTTAAATCAATCAAACAAATTATGCAGTTTCCATTGGCAATTCACATGCTGCTGCGTTCACGTCTAAGGGGTTTATTGGTTCATGGATGCGTGTAGAGACACGTGTTTGTGTCGTATTGGCCTGCATAGGTGCTCGCTAACAGCACTTGCCTTGACCGCCTGAAAAAAGGATACGCGGAGATATATGTGTTTGTTGTTGTTTTATTGCACACACACACACAGCCGTCTCATGGCAATATGCCCCGCAATCTTGTATAGTATTTGTTCCGGAGACCATTTGGTGTGCACAGCTTCCACATTGATCCGACCTGGAGCACATTTGTTGAGGAATCTTGTCAGATCAGAATAATATAAAACATGTGCCACTCCTTCATGAGCCATGTCGTAGGCAGAGGTTGGGATGAAGGATCTCTGCACTGGGAAGTGAGCTTGGGGCACGCTGCAAGCACATGTTACTTGTGAGGCGCAGTGCGGGAAGCCCATGACGGGAACCGCACCTGCTCGCTTCTTTGCCGACCTCGACAGAACGCTGGAGTAGGTCACAACAATGAGTCGATTATTAATAATACCAAGGTACTGTAGTTGATAAAAAATATAATCTAACTTCTGCGCTCGGCGTGGCTTGTAGGGGTTTCCCACCTTCATGGGACAGGATTTGGGGATGGCCAACAATTTTTACAGGGGCCCAAGTATAATGGACCAAAAAAGAACTCTTCCACTTTTAGTCCATTGATTGACTTAAGCGTATGATCGTCACCAGCTCTCCGTTCGTGTTGGTTATGTTTGGATGACCTGCAACAGTCCAATGATGTTGTGCATGCCAGCTGTGGTGTGGTCGCTGCCCAAAGAACTGCGTTGACAAGACTTGTCAATAAATTGGTCACAGTGGCCAACAGTGGCCATTCGCAACATGTTTATGCGAATGTGGTACACAAGAAAGTGCCACTACTCTCATTAATTTCCTGCACTTTTGTGGAAGTGGAATACATGTAGTCATTTTACGATGTGTCACTTCTGTGTTTCTGGCGAGGATTTATGGTTCTCAGACAACACGAACACTCATTTTTAGATTTCATTCGCTATTCTTAGGACGTTTTCTCTCGATTTCAGAGAATCCTCCCCCCACTGAGCGTAGGTGACCATGTGGCGACTCGTTTCCTGTCACCCCTACCCAGAGAGGAGAACTACTGCTTTTTGACCACAACCACTCATATTTTCTCTCCTCCAACACAAGTGATCGATCACATTTTCTCCAGTTCTTATAAGCTTTTATTTGGCAATGCTTCCGGAACATGTGAAGTGGCTGGGCTCAGATTAAAAACTTGTCAACCGGAAATCAGTAGTCACATGCACTGTTACTACGACTGGCCCATTTTGGCATATCAACTGTAGTTGTGTACTACACTGAGAAGCATTTCAAGATTTGCAGTGTTTTTCGGTGAATAACTGATCATAATAATAATTACTGTACCGGACTGAGAGTATTTGCCAAATCTCACAATGTTAGTTGAGTAACCAGACCGGACATGATGCTGGTAATTTGTGAAGATGAGTGCTAGAAAAGGAAACATTTATCTCTATTTTCTTTAAAGATAAGGAAGGGACCATGTTTATGTTGAATGGTGTGAACACTGCAAGTTATTGCACACTATTGCGGTCGTGGTGTTTGTGGGTGAATGTAGCCAGTATATTGTTCACGGGTATCTCACTGACAGCATTGCAATGTGACCGTTTATGGTTGGGCAGCATAGCTGATTGGTGAAGGTGGCCCTGAAATCTCTGCCACGTATTTGCTTGCGTCCGCTATGGTCAACATGTTTGATTGAGGTGCGACAGCGATTAAACGTACGCTATGTTTATTCTAAGTCGCTTGAGATGTTTGTGCGCGTTACACGGTTGGCTACATACGTTGCGAAAGAAGTTCGGCATACATACGTACGTACAAATATTTATCAAGAATACTTTCGGGTACGTTTGGTATTCAAGCCCATTATCGTTACCCAAGGCTATCAGTAATATAATCACCGTAATCAAATACCTCTGCACACCGCGCGCCTTTCTGCGCGAAAGCAACGTTGAGCGTTTTGTTATGTACCGACGCATGGGGTGTGGACGGCTGCTGACGTGGGGTCGGCCCCTTTTGGTCACTCTGACGGTCCTCGAGAGAGGCCCTCCTCCGTTGCGACCACAGCCCCTAACCCCGCTGGTCGGCCGGTCGGTCGGTCGTCCGTCCTACCGTCCGTCCGTGGACTGTGGCGGAGAGCCGAGGGAGTGTCTTCTGGGTGGGCGACGACGTGGAGGTGGCAGGCCAGGCATCGTTTGGGGCACGAGGGCCTGCGTCGCACGGCAAAGCAGCTCGTGGAAGGTAATGTATTCGTGAGTTGGCGATCGTCTTTGACATTGTCTGCGTGGCTGCCCGAGGGAGGGGTTGGTGTTGTTTACTGGGAGTTTTGAGGGTGGCTAAATGCGAGAGCGAGCTATATATATCGCCGGGTGTTGCTTCCTTGCATGCGTGCCTGTGACTTGGTTGAGAATCTGGCCGAGCGTTTTTATTCATTCCAATTGCATGTGTTTCATTTATTTAAAAAAAACATTACAGTTTGTTACAAGCAGGGAATGAGGATGAATGTCGTTCATTTTTCACATTTTTCTCAATGCGTCTTTAAAAATGTATGAGACTGCATAATTACGTCAATCCACTCCCGGGGGGGGGGGGGGGGGGTGTTATTTGACCATACCCTACCATGCTGGTGAGTGTGGGTTGCTAATGGCATGGGAGCATAGCAGTACTGTACAACAACGGATACCGCCGCGTTGCTTTACGATGCCCACGGCAGAATCAACACTGCTTGACCTTCTAACAAATTCGAGCACGTTCCAAGCGATTTGCTCATAGATGGGGGGGGGCATCTATACAGTGCACGTGAATTTGTCATTCACCGCGGCGAGAAGAAGTGCTGTAACAGCCCAACCATTCAACA